AAGGAAGGAAGGAAGGTAGGAAGGAGATTTGCATTTCATATGTTTCATGTCAGTTTCAAATTATCACTGACAAAATTATAGAGATGGGAGATTGCATTTTTCGTTGGAAATTCATAGTTCAACTTCGAACCCAAGCAACTCACTCACTTGGTGAACGAGGAACAACAGAGATAATCGTCAATTCATCTCCATTCACCCAGAAAGTGGATGATCATGATCATGCTAATAAATTAGGTTGGCTTCAGTACAGCACACGTCACCACAATTCATCACCCACCGTTGCCGTCCAAATAGCTTTTCGAACGTACATTAACGTACGATATTCGTAAATGGGGGTGAACATTACATTTATTTTCATTCGTTTGACATGTGGAATATCGTCCGCTATTAATTATTACGTAAAACGTTCGAAATCTTTCTTTCTCTTTCAGAAATGGTTACTGCAGAAATACTTGTTTTGCATCTTGCCATATATTTATCTGTGTGGACTAATAAATAAAAATATAGCCATGATTTTCCGACAAGTTACATGAAATTCGGACCAGCGTCCCAAGGCAGTCTCATTCCAGCAAAAAAAGAACAATCGATGAGCCCCGTCCAACTTGACTGCTTGGGAAAGTGGGAGGGTGGGTTTGTGATTATGCCATATATGCTCGGTGAGCAGGACAATAATAGATTTAGTCAATGTGTTGGGGGTTGGTTGTAAATCGGAGAAGTGAATGCCACACTATTCATGACTTTCTAGTTTTTTTGTATGTTTTCTATCTCTCATTGTGAAACTGATAGCATGGGAGGTCGGACTCTCTTGACAGGCCGCGTGCAGTGAGAGTTTTATGACTATTCATTGCAAATTCTGAAACTGGGCGAATCTAATCGAATATACAATCATTACCATCATTTGTTAGATACATACGTAGATACGTTGGCCTCGAAAATAAATACTGTTGGGCAATTGATTGGCTGCTCTCTATTCGAATTTATTTATTATTTAACTGCTTATAACGTATCGGTTACTCACATATATTCGTACGTCGTTAACATGAGAAAACTCGCTTTGTGTCAATTTTTACTGGAGGTCAAAATATTTATTTGTTGCACTTGGGAAATGTGCAAGTTATAAAGTGTGTAAAATGTATCAATGTTCCCCACAAGCCTTCAAATTTGAGAAAATCTCAAATACTGTTCGGCATTATTGGTATCGATATAAGTTCACTTTGTAAATTTATGTGCACCCGACAAATGTACGCATCTCAGAAAATAATCTTCCCATCGGAAATGCGAGATGAGGCTGAATGAGAAGAGGGTAGAATGTGAATTATCAATGTTGTATGCAACGTTTCACATTGCACACAAGTCATAAAATGTATCACTGACGGAAAGGATACATGTCATTAGCGTTCTTACTTCGCAATCCTGAGTTGGATAGATGGTGAGCAATAACTCTTTGTCGAAACACTCATTTTATTTGCATTTGGTTTCCAACTTGAATTTATTCAGTCTGCTCGGAATTTCTCGCTTTCACTTTTACAAAAGGTTTTCAAAATACTCAAATGAATGCCATTCTCATTTTGAATTGCCTACTAAAATAAAAGCATCAATATCTACTCTCATCCCAGCATGACTTAAATATTAATTCATCCAAACTAAATATCTGTCGATTTAAAACTTTACCACGACAGACAAGAGAATCACGACCGCCAACATATAAATGCCACACGTCCATATGTAGAACGGCGAGCGGATAAAGTTTCGATTGAGCAAACGCATCAAAAGAAAAGTAACATGCAAACAGCGACGCGAGTCGTTTAATGGATTTTACTCATGATAAAGTCAACTGAGCGAGCATGAGACACCAAATGCACAGGTAGCACGAGCTCAAGCTTCTTATAGCGAGGGAAAGCCAGCCTATGCAATATTCTCATTCCATGATGAATCTCTCTTTTCGTCCCACTTTATCGTAAGGCTACAGCCTTTTTGTGATGCAGCCACAAAGTGAGCGACAATCTGGTCGTCGATACGTGTACAAAAGTCTTGCTAAGTGATAGTTATTCGATGGGTGATGACGATGATGATATAAATACGTAGTGCCGTTAGTTAGTGAAAGTAACTGTGTCGGTAGGAGGCATCGATAAGAGGAATATTACGACGTTGCTGCGTCAGTCAGTCAGTCAGCATGGCAGGTTGTGACAAAAGTGGTGGTGATGGTGGTGGTGGGTGAGATGATGATGATGATGGGAGTAGTCGGGTTAGTTTTGGGGAGAAAGGATTTTGTTTCATTTGACTGACTCGAAACTTTCTTCTTCTCATTTACTGCCCTGTTTGGCGGCCTGGCTGGAGGGGGAGGGAGGGTGGCGAAGGAGGGGGATCCGTGAACCCATTCCCGTCCGGAAGCTCCTCGCCGTCTTCTTCTGCCAGCCCCCAGCAGCAGCAAGTACATTCTCCTTCGTCTGCAATCCATTCGTGTCGTCGAGCGAGGGATATGCTGGCGTAGGTGCACGACAGACTATAAAGCAACGTTCACAGCCACGGACTATCTTCTCATCAAATGAAGCGTACTTTCTCTCGGCGTATCATCCGCCAAACAGAAGCCCACATCGGGCTCTGTTCATTAATATCGAGAATCTTCTCAGTTACTCAATACCGAGAGATAAATTAATTTCGATTAATATTAATAGAAAACAGAGCGCATGTACATGAGTAGCTGGCTGATTAGCAAATATGTAAGGATGAGAAATAAATGGATGGCGAAGACTATTATATACGTACTAGTTGTTGATCCACAACATTATTGGCAGGATGATACGGGATAAAGTAGAAATGTGGCACAAAAGTTGACACGATATAAATACTCCCAGTTGATGGAAGGAAGGAACTCTGAAACTTATTACGTGTTTTCCTTTCTCTGCTGGTAAAGTTTCCATTATCCTCGCAAAAGTCCATTAATAGTGACAAAACCTGTCACTCATGAGTGGAGCTAAAGAAACTTTCCAAAGTGGAACGCATGATGAAGGATGTGCTGCAAGATTAGCGAGACCCTTATTTGCAGTAACATATAAACCTATTTAACCATAGCATTTTTACAGACAAGTTTAAACAGAGATGTTTGTAAATATTTAGATGGGTGAAATCAACATGTAGTAATTTTAATGTCGATTAAAGTTAATTAAATTCAAATTGTTAGGTAAGATTTGAAGTCATATTTGTTGTTTTTCAATTGTGTTGTAACAGCTCTTGAGTAAATCAGACGTGAATAGAGTCCTTGCGCAGATAATCCGGATGGCGTACGTAAACCCGAGGGAGGGAGACATTGAATGATCCCAGCTCATTTCTGCCGGTGGTCCTGATAATGATAACATGTCAATGGTACTTGCATCATCGTTTGTCCTTTATAATACGGCCCATTTCATACAGAGTCCTCTCCCTTCAAACCTGATTGACTGGAAAGGATTTCGATAAATGACTCTCTATAGGCATTACTTATGTACGTTTATATATCTTCTCTACTCACTAGTAGTACTCACTCCTCAACAACATTGTGTGCGTCAATCCAGTCAATTCGGTTAGTCGATGACTTTCACTCTCTCACGGTTTTACTACATTCACTGCTTTGTGCATCTATTTCTGATTTAACGTAGAGATTATGAATTAATTTTGAAATTGATGGATTACTTAAACTAATAGTTAAGAATTTATGATGTATTTACTATTTCTTATGTATGAGATTTTGCATGAAGGAAAAATTTATTCCAAACATTTATTGTAAAAATAAGTTGAAATTAAGATTTTCAAGATTCAAGTTTCTTCGAGAGAAATTGGAGGATGAAATCGAACATTTTTCCAGTTTTCTTTCCAGCCCATTGAAGCGAATCGACTTTTAGTACAAGGTCTAAACTGCTGACCATTGAAGGAGTCGGCCATTGGAACAATACTTTGGATTTTCTCCTCTTCTCTGCTCGGTAGTTTCTCAGTCTGGCTGGCTCGATGGAACAAATCTCATGTATTACAACCACCAGTCAACATTGGAATGAAAAGTGGTTAAGTGAAATGCCCTTTGACTTTGGGTTGGTCGGGAGCAACTGAAATGACTTAGGGTTCACCGATTGTCATCGATAATGCCTGCTTGCAACTTAAACCTCAGTTCTCCACAGATTACAGGCCACAGATAGCAAGAGATGGAAAATTTATGTCCAAAAAACCTAATGCGGCTCTCGCTGCGAAGTTGACTTTGGCTGGTTTTGCTCCATAAATTTTATCGCTCGAACTACCAACTCCTTGCAGCCAAAACAGATTTCTATAACTCCGTCATCCTCACGTTTTATTTCACTTTGCGATCTTGGTAGGTTCGATCCAAGCAGGATTTATGTAGCACAGCAGCCTTTTTCTTTGCACCAACAACCCCTTTCCAAAACACTGCAACGATTATTTTATATTGCATCAATAACCCATGGCCAAAAGTTGACGGATTTTACTCTCCTTCCCATTCTCTGTCATTCTTTATGCATTGTCGCAAGGTACGAAAGTATGTACGGCACGATGTACAAGTTAAACAATATCAAGGAAAAGTGAAAGTTTTGCTAGGGTTAAGTATTAGGAAAGGATAATAAAGCATTGTTACAACGCAATTCAGCGCAGCTCACAGTTAAAATGGGATCATGTAAATACTGGGACATAAAACTGTGTAGTTTACACTCGGGCGTGTATATTACAATCGAGGAAACTTAGGATTAGTGCAGATATTACCGAAAATATTGAATATTTGTAAACCAGAAACATTGAATATTATTTTTCACTTATTGCTGTAGTCAATTCAGGGAAATAATAAGTGTGCAAACTTTTCACATAGCAATATCACATTGCCTCATAATGTGCATTGACCCTCATTTGAAGGGAATAATATTACGTGTGCACTGTATGTCTGCATTTATGTACGAGGAACTATATGTACGGTGTTTAGTGTAATAGAAAGCGAGCGCAAATTAGGAGTCATAAATAGTCAAAACCTGATTTAGAAGAGCGATTATTATGGTTAGCCGAGTTTCCTGTTCCGCTGGACACACCTGAATTGCTCCCAACACCACCAGTACCAACATTATTGGTTTCACCGCTTCCCGAATTGTTGGCTGTGGAGGAGTTGACATGGGACGAGTTGTAGGAGGAAGAAGATGAACCCTTGCCATTAGAAATCGAAGGCGATGATGAATCCACACCTGCAATCCATTAAATCCAACAACATTAATTCATTTCAAATCATCAAATCAGATGAATCCTTGCTGCCAGCCATATACCCGCATTTAATTGAGATTGATGCAACCACAAGCGTCAAAATGCTTGGTGCTGGAAGGTGTGATTTGATCTGATTCGTTTGGGGAGAGGGAAATGCGATAAGCAAATAAGTTTCTTTACTTGTACGTACGTACAGCCCAGTAACACTAAATTGGAAGCAGAGATATTATGACGGGGAAATGATCAGGATGCTTTTGACTTATTGCGAGTAGACAATTTGTTTAAACACGATGTAGCAATAAGCAATCAATCTACGCAGACGGATATTTAATCATGATCGTCGTTTATTTGGAAAGTATGGGAAAGGAGAAAAACTAAAGGGGAACAAGACTTGTAGCACAATGAGCAAATAAATAAATAAATGAGTGTGAGTTCACTTTTACTCATCATTTCGTGTAAACAGCAAGGGTTGGAAATAATAATTGACTCCCAGATCCAAGTTGACTTTAAGTGCATTACCTGATGACCCAAAAGGGTTCACTATGGTTTTAAGCGAAACGAACTGGTTACACGGATGTTGAGAGCCCTTGCCACCACCGCACCGAATCCCTTCCCATGCTGCACACCGTGTGTGTGTGTATGCACATACGTAACTATGTCTAATAACTGGTGCGGTTTAAATACTGTACACTCAAAACGAGTAAAATAGAGGAGAAAACTGATTCCTGATGCAACAAACGCAAACGATGACTGGATGAAAATGTATCATGATCATTACGATTTTCTCTTTCCACTTTAGTGAGGCTCATCAATTAAGAACATTAAAAATGCAAGAAAATGAAATCATTTCATTACTTTCTCTTCTTAAATAAAAATGAAATTATGATTGAAATTACTGCACAATATTTGTAATACATTGTATTGTTCAATTTATTATGAGTTAATGTGACCGATGACCGTCCTGAGACCAGGATTTGATGAAAAGTAAAAAGAACCACGAGGTCATGGGATTTGTTGTCATAATGGTTTGTGTGTGATCACCGGAGGAGTTGGTGGTGGTAATAAAAGTCAAGTTTTGCGTTACAAATAAATGATGTGTGTACACTCGTTCTGGAAGAGTGGCTTGGCCCTTGCATACCACCAACCAAGTCGATACGAAGGGCAACGTGGGACACATTGTTCGACAAAAGGTCAATAATGAGCTCCCTTTTCTCTTCAGTGGGTTTGGATAATGGAGCCCTAGGCAGTGGTTGACACCAGGCATACTGTTTTTCGGCCTGAGTGGGTGAAATCCATCGTCGCCGTCCATAATGTTCCCATGAGGCCACTCTCTTCTCCGTCTCCCCCATCGACATGCGAGTGCAATTATTATCGGCTCGTGACTGACTTTGCTTGTTACTCCAACGACAATTACAACAACCCGACCAAATCATCCACAACATTATCAAACTATAATCCTAATAAATTAATCTAAAAATATACATTTTTCATACCATTCGACTAGCGAGAGTTCATTTGTAAAAAAAACTTGACTTGTAAGTACAAGAAAGAAATACATGAATGGCAAAAGCGAAAAAAAGTCAGTGTTGTTTGTGCATTAATGCGGGTTCCCCGCTGTGTGCTAATGTGGAAAGCCTAAGAGGCATATGCTTACGTCTGCGTGTATGGAATTACTTAAAAGCGGCATTCACTTTTCAATTACTTTTATATAAATAGTCAAGACTTTTAATACTCATAACCACGTCGAAAGCGAAAATTTATAATTGACCTGATGAACACTGATGCAAAATTAACGATGTTGAAACTTTGTGAGATCAAAATAATAGGTCAGAGTTCAACTGGATTTTTTACAGACTCAACTTCCCCCAGATAAATGATGGTGGTATATGTGCATGATAGATGTTAATAGATAGATAGGCCACGTTCCCGGGGTATAATAATCATATGATGGTGGATTGGATGGAGATTAATGAATTTCACAATAGCAAAGTCAACTAGCTTCGGGCTTTCCTCTTTTCAGTTTCACTTGTTATCCTGCTTTTATACAAGCAGCAGCAGCAGCAATTTCACGGATGAGCATCGAAGATCCAGATTTTCCACTCAAATAATGATGGATGAAGCAGCTTATTTGCTGCTCCAGTGTACTTTCTCTTTGTCGGACCATTTCTTTTAGACTTCAAGTCAGTTGGTGGATCATTATCCAGCGACCATGGTTTGCTAAACTTGCCATTATGTCAGCCATGTAACATTTTGAAGACAGGCGGAAAGTATGCTCGTTAGCAAATATAAAGGAGAAAACAGCAGATAGCAAACGATAATACTTGGAAGAAGGCTACATAATATGTAGCAAGGAGCTTATATGTGGCATGCAGTATATTAAATTTATTGAACATGTCAATCTTTTACCAACCATTGTTATTGTTGTTGGAGCTTCTTTTGTTCTGATCTGGCGGAGAAGATGTAGACACTTCACCAGAGCTCTGGAGTCGATCCTGGTGCCCTAGACTATTATTGTTGCTGGAATGAGACGAATGGTGCGACTGATGGTGTAGTGATGCTGAATGGTTGAGATGAGACGAGTGGTTGAGATGGTGACTCAAGTCTCCGATCAGACCCATGTCACTCATTCGATTGGAAGAGGAATTGTGGTTTGACCCACCAGCCACACCCCCACCGACGGACGAGCTCCCTAAATTCATCCCCATTCCCATTCCCACATTGGGCAGAGTTCCGAAACCTAATTATATGGTACACGATTTCAGAATAAGTATATTGGATTATTAGTACTAGATTATCTATAAGTATATATATGTAGGTTATAATAAAGTTTGGAGATGAATTTAATCTAATAATAATTATTACTAAACCAACACATTGAATATTTCAATCAATATTTTATTTTAAAACCAACAACGAATGAGAATACATAAACAAACTGATCTTGGATCAAATAATAATAAAATAAAGCCTTGGGCTGACGGCTAGAATAGAGCAGGATCATGACTCCACAGTTCGATACATTTAAATCGAGTCACAAGTTTATCATCAACGCCAGGGAAGGTGGCGGCAGACTTGTCCTTAATGTAGGCCTTCATCTGTGGAGCAGAAAGTATGATCCATCGACGAGTGACAGGGGCCATATGCTCCAAATATTGGAGAACCACTGATTCCAAGTATTCGGCAAAGGGGTACAGGATATCCAAGCATTCTCGAGGTCGGAGAGTGCCCAGGGCAAGAAGTCTGAGACGAAACCACCATTTGAAAAGTTCGATGATTTGTTCTTTTGACGCTTTTCCCTTAGCAACTGTTTCGATCGGAGTATAGATTCCAAGAAATTTAGCTGTTTCTGGCACCTCTTCCAAGCCATCTTCGACTACATCATTTCTGTAAACAAAGTAGCCAAGGAGTCAAATTAGGTACATATTATGCTCTGAGCAAATAGAATATAGTAATTTGTAATGTAAATATGAATATGTACCGGTAGGAACAGGCCTTAATCAAGGCAAAGATTCCGAGACTAAGAATATTCTTGATAGCTTTCTTGATATCAAGCCAATTAAGTTTTGCAGCGGAAATGGCATTGTCCATTCCGGTATAGCCAACAGCTGTTTTAGCCATTTTGCCTTGGGCATCCTCTTTCTTGACGATGTCAAACAGTGAAATATACAATTTATGATAAACAGCTGAAATAAATAATGATTTAAGTATTACGTGCATTATTAGTTTTACAAAAATACTGATATAAATGAAACAAATTAAAATACCGCAATCTTCACCCTCCTCTATTGTTTTCCACTCCAATTTCCCCGTATCCTTGTTGACCCAGAAGAGCCTTGGGTTGGTGTTGACGATTGTGGTTGCGCGAGAAGGAGCCGTCACTTGACTCTCCAGAGTCGAATCCGACTTTCTCCGTCTTATAAACCAGTCTTGTTGGCATCATAAGTAATACACACAAATTAGTAAATAAATCGAATGCCAATTGATGTCCAGGGCTAATATATAAGTAATTGATTTGGGACTCATCTTAATCTGCGACTCAGCGAGACCAGTTTCTTCCATCAGCTTCTGCCGATCCATGTCCGACACCCATTTTGAAGTCTTGTAGGATTTCTCCAAACACGAAACTCGACTACTGGTGAGGGGAAGTAGAGCTAAATTCCTCTTCTTTCTTGGCTTCATCTTACTGGGTCTCTGTCGTTTGTGGTCGAACCATTTCTGTTGTCGAACAATATTTAATTTTGGGTTATATCATGTTTTTTCAAGAATTAGAGCCCTGGGCTATGAAAACTTACACTTATCTTGACCATGTTGACCAATGGATTGGTGACGCGAATAATGTTAGCGAGTCTTGCTTTTTCATTGATAGCTGGGCATTGGTTTAATGCGAAGGATGCCATCAACAATTTATTTTCTTCTTTTGAAAATATTACCCTTTTCTCCCGTTTCTTCTCCTGATTGGCCACAACATCGTTTCCTCCTTCCATGATTGAAAAATTCTGCTAAAAAACACAATTAAGTATGAAACTAAAGATAATAGTAGCCCTGGGCTTGATGTTATTATATTTTTTATTAATTTTCACAGACTCACATGATTTTTGCGATTTTTGAAATATGTTCCTTACGAACAAATATTTGTGTATGGATGACGTTGGAAACGATTAGATGTATGAAAATACCCATCAAACAAGATATATCTTGTTAGAAGTTTGCGTGAGAGCTGTGCAGTTTTCATACACTGTCTCTTTTCACCCCGCCGGTGTTTCATTCAAATAGTGCGTAGGAGAGAAATAATAAAATCAACACATTTGTTTACATCCACTCCAGTTTTTCTCATATACATAGGTAATTATATTTAGTTAATTATTTATTTCATATTTATTAAGCCCTGGGCTGTAGAATAATTATTTTTACTTTTTTTGCTGACAAATCTATCTCATAGAATGGCTCCATTTTATGCCAAACTTGGTCCTGACCGTCAATGGATTAGGGTAGTGGGACAGTTGTTGCAGAAAAACGAGGTACGACCGCACCTAATTTATCACCAATTTCGAGTAGGAAGGTCGAAGGGTCTTTTGGATCATTATCCCGAACTTGTTATCCTGGTTTGTCATCCTTATTTTAATTATGCACATCGTGGGTTAAAAAGTAACAATTACTTATTTGTTAACAGAAAGATGAATTAATTGCCCAGGGCATAGCGGAGGAAAGGGATCTTGATCCCATAGGCCTCTCTGATCTGAGAGAAAGTGCCCGACAGCGTCGCTCATCAACCGTCCATCTTGATCGCTCTCCTGCAATCCCCTCGACCTCGTCTCCACCACCACTACGACGACTATGTCAATCACGCGATCCTCCCCCTTTCCCAAATTTCACTGATGACCCCACCCTTTATCTACCCATAAATTCAGGGGTTTTGAACAACATGCGGGAAATGTGCCGACGATGTACATGTCAAACATGCATACACCTCAAATCTACTAATACTTTGCCCTAGGCACTTATGATATGTTCATGATTTTTTTTCCAATTAAATTACTATATGGTATAATAATAATCTTTTTGATGCTGCTGAAATATTTTCAAATTTATTTTTCCGAAACCTGCTCCAAAGTAGTTCCTGCTGTCTCTCGCCTCCGCTGTCAACACGGCCTTGGCTTTCTCCACAGATTGCTTCAATGCTTCAAAGGTAGACATGCCACCGCAACCGGAGAGGGTGGGAAGTCGGTAACCCGTCGTCCAGTCGTTTCCGTTGCACTCTTCCGTTTTTATCCCAAATGGGTTCATGGCTGTATAAAATGGATTAAAGAAATGTCAACAACTCTCTCTTTCAACTCAACTTTTGCGGCTGGGCTTCAGGTCAAATCAATTCAATGTCAATATTTTCCTTTGACCAGTCATTCGACGTGTTGGGAGAGAAAGGGAAAGCAACTTTGTGGTGATAGTGGTGGTTGACTTACCGACAGAGGAAGGAGTCGGCCCTGTCATCCCACCACTGCTGGACATCCGTTTGAGGTCTAGCTGATAAGAACAAGATGTGTCGTACATCTGTAAACCATTCCCCGCTGCAACCATAGCACTTGCAGCAGTTGACATTTTCCTTTTCTCAGGCGTAGAAAACAGGTGTCTTACGTTGGGGAATTATGAATTCCCAAATAATCCCCTGAAAATAATTGCATGGGTTAAACATTTTTTATCTAATTAGATTTCTTTACAATTCTCATTTCATCTTAAACCGAATAAAATAGCGTTTATATGTATCAATGCTTTTTATTAGGACTAATTTCCAGTCAAACTACACATGTAGGTAATCAGTAGCAGAAGTTTGTATGCATACTACATATTTGTATGTACCACTGATTATCAACATTTCCAATGTCGCCTTTCTCCTCCAATCTCAAACCGATCTACCTGCCCCAACACCCAGCAACCTCCATTACTTCAATACGGGTTCAACAAACACTAATTTACAGCATGCAACACGAGTCAACCATGTATTTTAGTGTAATAAACTAACCATAAAAATGGAGATGTGACTTATTACGTCTGAATGACAGAGATTCATTGGCGTTTCTAACAAATTTGCTTCTTATCTCTAATCAGCCAGGAATTTTACGATGTTTTCCCGTCTCGCACTTGCATTTCCACGAGAAGTGACCAGACTAGTTTGCAATTTGACATTATTTTATGTTTTCTTACCCAACAAAATATCAAACGAACAAGAAGCTTTTTGGGTGGCGAATAATAATTTAGCAGAAACATAAACTTTCTCATGGTGTAAAACGCACAGCAGTCAAAAGGAACATAATTTTTAGCATCGCTATATAGCCAAATATATGTATATTTCCATCTGCATGTACTTATTCATATGCGGACAGTATATCGATCATAGCATCGAGACGAGTTGTAAAATGAGAGTCAATTTCAATGAGTGTGGGAAAGTCGGAAGATTGAGTGCCAGATTATGAGTAAGTGGAAAAGAGGAAGCGTGAACGTAGAAGAAATGGGAGCGAAGAAATGAACAGGAATCTATAAAAATGAATTGCTTTCTCCCGCATGACTCCCTTGCTTACTTTCCCTCTTCCGACAAGGATATTAAATTCCTTTCCTTTTTCAATTTGACTAAAAAGAAGCAGACATCAGCGCGCCGTTGTTGCTTCATAATGTTGTTGACGTGAACACAAGAAAGAATTCAAATTATATCATCACGATGCAATCATTGATATTAAGCATCTACTTTTCCTGATAGGAAGGCTGCTGCTTCCGTTACATGGGAATTGGTGCTGCGTCCGCGGAAACGACCGTCAGGTTAAGAAACACGCACCACCGCCAAAAACTTGCTTCTTAAAATCTATTGCCAGTTTCCTTCCTTCTTTAATTTTTGACTGATTCATCACCAGAAATAAATGCTGGGCTACGTACGTACGTGCATAAGCATGCCGTTCACCGCCACAAATTAAAATTATAACTTGATACTTATGCACATATGCACCTGTACACAGCATGTAAATTTATGTATGTATGCACATATGTCGAAACAATTCATTCTGAAGAGGACCAATCCTTAAACTTTAATCACAGCCTGTCAAACGGCTCATGCAACCATGCGGGATAATTGAATGAGTTGACCAAAACTGGGAGTGGATGGGAAATCTGGGAGGTAATTGAATATTCTCTCACTCCGGAAACAAACAGGGCAGTTTGCAATAGGTGTGGATGAATCCATGCGAGCAGGCGAGAAGGTGGAAGTCGGTGAAAGGTTAATGAGAATAGAGTTTCCTTTTCTGACGGATGTGATTTAGCGGCTGGTGAATGGCGTTGCCTTGCGTTCGGAAGTTGTAGCGCCTCCAACTGAAGAGGAAGTCTCGGTTTTTGAGGTTAGGAGAAAGTGAGATATTGCAATATTAGACGATTACGGGGAGGATTTGTTTGCCGGACGCTACCAGAACAACAACTTTGTGCCCAATCCACTCTGCAATTTCCCGTCAACTAATAAGGACAATGTCCTCCACTACTAAATATATTAACCTATGTACGTGATAGGAGAGCTGTACTACAATAGTTTTCTGTACGTGTATGCACAATACGTAGGTCCACCTGTTTGGGGGACACGTTGTTCTAATGATGAGGAGGATGATGATGATGAGTCTAATAAGTCCGAATGTGTGAGCAAGTAAGAAGGGCGATAAGAAAGTCGGACGTACCTGTGATGTGTTCGTGCACGGAGTAATTTCGATGTTGATACCGGTACAAGAAGGAACTCTTCTGACTTCCGTCGAGAACAAGTGCTTCCGTTCTTTCCGCTGCCTCTGAATACGTCGCGCTGATTTTCCTCACAGGGTCCCAACACATCACACACACGGCCACCACCACTCAACTCCACCCAGGATCCTCCTCGGCCAATACTTCAGCTCCGATCCTCCGAAATTCCCTGCCCTCCCTTCTTCGCCCCCTGACTCACTCTCGCCGACTCCGACTCTTTCTCTCCTTTTCTGTCTCCCCCAACAGTCTGCATGCCCGAGAAAGTGCATACGCTCCGTACCACCTTCACAACCTACGGGCCCACCGCTCAAATTCACCCAGATCTTCACGTCCAGTTTTCTCATCTTATCTTTTGAATATTATTACACAAGAATTTATAATAATGCCCGACGTGTATGACCATTTTTCACGGACTAAATACTTCATATCGACTTGCATAAGCGCATCAAGGAAAGAAAATTTTTCACTAATTATCACTAAATGTATCCACACGGTATTTGAGCATGTTTAGGTAATTATGCTAATGGAAAAGGCATGCAGACCAGATAATTAAATAACCAGCAATCTTTGCAGGATAGGAATATGAACTGGATAGGACAGATCTACCCTAGGACGTCATGCCTAAAAACTTGTGAGTTTATTTGGGGAGAAAGTGGTGTAGTACACGAGGAAGAATAATTCTCAACATTTTGTTCTTGATTACTTTTGCCAAGGAGAGAAAGAAGAAAGACGACACCGCCCGACAACGGGTTCACGGAAATCGTGCGGAAACTGCAAAACTTTCCCTACTACCTTCCGTCTATCCGATCCAATTAGATTGCTTTAATGCTTTCTCTCCCCATCCTCCGATCCTCTCCCTCTCCCACGTTCCGATGTTCCGACTTGGGAGAGGACAAACTTGGGCGATCTTCATGCTCCTTATCTGCTGTCTTAGATGAGTAAATTAATTACCAACCCAGAAACAGTAGGAAACAACCCGAAAACTTGACTAAACTCTCATCTTCATGCCAAAAGTAAACATCTTATCATCTCTGTTCATTCTGCATAGTTTCTTCTATTCGTTTTGCGCCAGTGCGTGCGTAGTAAGTAGTTCAACGTACATCTTCCACGATATCTTCTCATGAGCTTAGGAACGCAGATAATCTGCATGCTTGATTTTAATTAGTTATTATTTTCAGTACATAGTGTTTGTATCCATTTAGTTTTAATTTCTTAAAAATCTAGTATTTAATAATATATATGTTAATATTGATCTACTAGGATTTAAAACTCGAAAACGCATATGTACACCTTTACCTATTTCATTTCTTCGTATATGCAAGTATGCACGGTACAGATAAATAAAACTATCCACTGTAAGGTTAAAGGAATTAGGATATGCATCAGCTCTTTAAAATTACGTCCGTTCATAAATATAGATCACTTTATGCGCAAGGAACATCATAAATATAATACCATACAATTAGTATTAAATACAACAAAATGGATTTGATCATTACCAAATTATTTAAACAAGATTGCAGTCTTTTCAGACATGAAGGAATAAAAATGGGTTGTACATATCGTCAATTTAGAATTTAAATAATGTCACCACCAAATCTCATTTACAAGACAAGGTTATATTAACCCATCTTATATTTATTAACTGAAATCATCAAAAACATCATTATCATGGATCGTTAAAAATTAGAATTAGAATAGGAACAAAAACTACTGCGACTAGAACTATGCACAACCAAATTGTTTTACGAATGCCTAATTTTACGAATTAGCTCCAGTCCCACTGCGCTCCCAACTCCAAGAGTAAATGGGCTTCATAGAATTGTATGCAAACTGAGCTGAGGACGAGGACAACAATAATTAGGAAGCTACATACGAGTAGAAAGTTGGTTGGAGGAGCGCGAAGGGGAGATGAAAGCACTCTGGGTGCGGATGATTCAATAGAACTCCATTGAAGGCGTTATTCTTCTTCTACGAGGAGAGATAACGACCGACTCCCCGTCGTCTATCTCGCCTTCAATTTTTGAGACAATATTTCATCCTTTTCTCCCCAGCCTAGCACCACCACCAGCTCCACAGCGACTCGTCTTGCTCACTTTCTCCTCCACTTTCCACTCCTCTCCCATCATCATCGTCCACACTCAAACGAGCCGAGCTCACAGAATTGCTTTCATTCCAGAAAAGTCTATAAATCCAAAAGACCTTGCATTGCACGATGACTACGAGGCGTACCAACCAACCAGCCCGCAAGACAACCTTTGCAACTACACTGCTTCGCTTACACCAAAGACACCGTGCAGTGCTTTCTTTAAGCATTTGCTGAATAAGTATATCAGATCCTATAGAAAATTTTCCAAGTACGTGTAAAATGTGTCAATTGTAATCCGACCCATCATACACAAGTACACGCATTGAGCAAGATTTTTTTATATTTCTATATAAATATATGGATATGCGTGTCAAAATATATACGTGCATACGAAGTAAAAAAAAACGTCATCATGCAGTAGTACGTAGGGGCACTTGTGTGTATCGTAAACAGTTTGTGTATTGCATAATGAGAAGGACTGACGGAAATGGGAAAAGTATTTGGAATAAAGTCAGTTAAGTATTCATGTGGATGTGTGCCAAACGTCAAATCCGTTTGCTCAAATGGGAAGAGACTTAAGAGAAATTATGCCAATATCAACGATTCACAGGATCCTCTCAGGATTTCCTCGATTGTGGTTCGAAAGGAAGATGCGGATGAAGCTCAAAATGGAAGAGGAAAATAAGATAAAGGGGCTACTATTTTCCTCCCATCATTTCCTTCCACTTTTCCCATAGACTCGCAAAATCCCTTCAATTCTTCCCTACAATAGGATTTCCATGCTATTTGCGTTTTTCTTGCTTCCATGAATTAAAAGAAAGCAAGAAAGTCCGTATGCTTCATCTTCTTATAAGTTTCTCTCTCAACTTGTTTGTACACATGCATGCACAGCACAGTGAAAAAATGGCGAAATAGAGAACCAAGGAAATTTATCCACATTCAGTGAATTCGTCCACATTATCATTAAAAATCCATCTGTTTTTCACGCAACTTCTTTCCTCTCTCTCTCTCTACGATTTCATACGGATGTAGATCGCACAATGCTTTTCATCTCTTTAAAATCTTCACATCCTGCCTCCACATGCGTGCAATAATGCTGCGCCGGATTCTGATATTCACTAAAGTATAATCATTCAAGTCATCCTTGTTCCGTTGCTAATAAGTTTATCTCCAGATTCATTTAAATGTCACTCCACTCTTGTCTGACACTTTCTTCAAAGCGGAAGGAGATAGTGCTCTACTTTGTGCTATGCTTGCTACTACGAACATAAGTAGATGCCTTCCAGTAAAGAAAGTGGCGAGTCTCCATTTGCCCCGCATCTTTCTTTTTATACTTTTGCTTTGTTAAAAAATTCATCTGGTTGTCTGCGTGTTGCATAAATTATGGAAATTATTCTACAGCACAACATTAGGCCCTCTTACTCCACTACGCTTCAAAATACACATCCCTAGATAACTTATTACCTGATCTAGAAGTAAAGTTGCTGGAGTGACGCAAAGATTAATGACATCACTGGCGACTGAAAGAGTAACAGATTCAGGACATTTCTCATTTTATGCCATGCGAGTAACATCCTATAACGTTCTATATACATAGATTTACCTCCTTAGTACGTGGCTCTAATGTGTACTCGCTGAATCCAAATAATGGGAAAGAGCATCTCCTCCTGCCTGCTTGACGTGATCACTGGCTTTCATGAATTTGATGAAGGCACGACAGAGTCACTCGTGTGCAGAGACATTTCCGTTCTTTCTTCTCGAGGCCTTTCTCTCATATTTTGTCTGTCATTTATACACCCTTCCCCCGCCTCATTTCATCCCTTTAAGGATGCGAAGAAGCAGAGGATGCAGATACAAAACCTCTTAATGGTTGCCTCCTCCTTGTTGATGGATGTACAGATTTCTATGTGTGTACTTACTCCATTTATTTAATTATTACTTCAGGTCAGTAACAAGACCATAATTATACATACGTACATTACGTATGTATAATTTTAATTTTTACCTGAAACGTGACCAATTTTATTAACCTAATAACCATACGGTCATCAGGAACTACCGTCGCTGCTCCAAAATAGGTCACGCGTAACGAGCCATCATCAATAATGACGGGGCAGCTGGAAATAACTCATCTTTATTTTGTAGAAATGTTATGTCATGCTCATCAAAACGAATTTTCAACCAGTGTGACGCGGTCCATATCGAAAGGGAATTGTGAAAGTAATTAACGCGAGGAACGACACGTGCCGTTGCTTTTATCTTGTTGACTTTGAGTATCCTTGCCATTAAAATGTATATGCGGACACAGTCAAAAGTGTGTCAGACCCTACCTTCCACATAAAAAGGACGCACACAGCAAATGGCATTCGCATTGTGCAAGAAGGGAGGAACAAGTGAAAATACAAATAAATCCATTTTTGGTAAAAACCAACATTTCTTTTTTTAAAATAAAATTGGAAGCATCGTTTTTGTTGGTTAATTCAATTTATTTCATAAATTTAACATTTCATTTAAAACGTTATACATTCACACTGCAGATACACCAATAAAGTTGTTTGTTATTATATGTATGTATTTATGGCTATAAGCGTAAATTAATTAATCAGTTTACAATTAAAAAATTCTTGAGATTTCCACGACCGATATTCATTTGGTCAATGAACAAGTAGCGTGGTCTACCTATCGAATATTGACTAGAGTTTTCACTCCGCTGTGCGCACATATCTCATACATTTAGTAATCAAGAATCGTCTTCAGCTAGTTTTTTTTGCTCGACTTGAATCCTAATTAATGAATGTATGTAATTATTTAGCACAATCAGCAAACCTAACAGTAATAGCACCTCATTAAACATTACCAAACAGCTAATTTTATTGTAAGTACAGAATGATAAATATTTGGCAATACATAATAAATTGCAGTACAAGTACTCGTCGTCAAACATATACACATGCACAAGGAAGAAAGAAGTGGATAAGTTTTGTATGCTAAAACTGCTACGAGACTAGAATTATTTGGATCATGATGAGGAGGAGAAAATCAGAAAAAGTGATTTTATGATGGAGACGTAATCTATTTGAGACATGGAAGAGAAAAGCCTGCATATTAGACATTATTAGATAAACATACTGCAGAAGTTGGAGATAGGTTTCACTTTCAGGTGATCAACTCAATGATGCTGAATAAGAATAACACGGGAGAAAAGTTTACAAATCAATACTTACTTCGTTTAATATCGCATTTCAGCACTCAATTGCAATTGATTAGGTTATTATACAATCTGTGTGGTTACAATTAGAATAAAGCCGCCTAATTGTTGAACTGACGTTTGCACAGTAACAGACAGAAGTTGGCTTTGCTTTTGGACAGCCGCGATCTATAGATGCACACAATTTCACTCGACAGCTTCAGATTTTGGATTTTATGTATGTGTTTTTTGGATATATGTATGAACCGAATTGAATGGGTATCGATTAAATGCGAGAGAAAGTGTGAGTTGGATGCTATAAATTCATAAATGCATTGTAATGAAATTATATTATGTTGGTGTTAATAACGGGCAGAAGGTCAATCTCTCTCCCTCCTAGTAGTTCTCCGACGACTGTGTCTCGGTCTTCACCATGTAGACTTGGCCTCCGCCAACTTGTTGTTGAGTGGAAACGTTAGAGGTGACCTACAATAATAAAAAAAATTGATATTAAGTTTATAGGAAGCTTTGTACATGCATCCCGAACCAGTAGTTACATAAGTCGTTGCCAAACCATTTTATTATTTTGTACTCAATTTTCAGCATTCGACCTTATTTTTATAATGAAGTGCATGGGATGTCTGTTTTAGTAAGTACAATTGTACTGTGATGCAACTATTTTTAAAATCTGCGTCGTGTGTTTGAAAAAAACTTTTAATTTCGCTATATATTTTCTTGATGCGTGTCAACCTAAATACCCAAGTGTAAAATTTCTATTTTGAAAATTTGGTAGAAAATCTCACCCACAGACGCATGGAAAAAGGTGGTAATATGTTAGCCTTGGTTCGGGGTAATTAATAACACAATGAATGCATTGTAACCAAGAAGGAAAAACAAACTTACAAAGGACCTATGTTTGGCCCTGATGATCCCCAAATTGCTTTCGGCACAGTCGGCACGTTCTTCAGCGGCTTCCAACTCTCCTGGATGACAAATAATGCAAAGATTTATAAAAACTTTCTCAACATGTAATGCTTAAAGTCTTGAGTTTACTCACTCTGGAATCGTCGAACACGGGTCGATGCTGTTGCGGACATGCTTTCCTACAGTTTTAACAATTTAGATAGCGATATAGATATGTATATATATATCTACACGATGTAGATATTATGTTCATATATATTATGTATGTTGTTTTGTTGATTCCGGCTGAAAAAAAGCTTACTTACTTGTTCCTGCAGTTGTCGCTTGTATAAATTAGCCTTGTGACCAACTTTGTCTAGTGCCTCTTGCAATAATGCGATCTGTTGATTTTGTTCTTCAACTGAAAAATAAGGTTTAATTATTAGTTCATAAGGTATAAACGGTATGAAATGAAAAAGCTTTTTAATTTTTTGTTAAATGTACTTACTTGAAATCATGATTTCCTTAATGTTCCTCTCCTTCTTTCTCAAAATCTTAATGGTCTCCTGGTGGCGTCGCTTTTCCTCGTCCAATTCGAGTTCCATATCTCGTAACTAATGTAAAGTGAAAGTTTAAATTTAAAACTGAACCTGCACTTTGGAGCATTCAAATATATTGATAAACATAATTTAAAATCATTCCTTGACTTACCCTGGCTTCTAGCTTTGAAATGATTCGTTTTCCATTGACAAGAGCATTAGCTTCAACCTCTTCGAGACGAACGCTGATATTTTTTACTTCAATTTCTAGAGATTTCTTAATGCTTTCGATCTTAACAATTCGTTCTTGTTCTTCATTATTATTCGCGAGAAAAACATGAAAAGGAAAACAAATGCATTGCGTTAGTAATCTTGAAAAATGACATCGTGTGAAAAGAATTGTCTTGTTAAATTTAAATACATATCCACAAGTCTAATAAATAATGTTTGAATTGTGTACAATTTGCATTTCTTACTCACAGCGAGTTTAATATATGGGAGATCAAAATAGTTTCTTCGAATGAATTTTTAGATAATGGTCAAAATACTAATTTGATTACAATAGAAATGAATTTATGAAGTGATATTTTCTTGGGGAAGAAAGTACTTTTTTGGGGGTTTAGTTTACACCTTAATCATTACTAAGCATATTAATATTGCATATTAATTTTCATAAAACTTGTTTTACCTTCGTGGAGGATGTCGATTGTTCGCGTTAATTCTACTTGTACCTTCTGGTATCGCTCGTCAGACATCTGGAAATTTATGAAAATTACATATATAAAAGCAGATTCATGGATGACCAGAATCATGTACACAATAATTACAAAAGTTCGCACATACCTTAAGTTCCTTGGACACTTCATCGTAGTCTGAGCTGATGATGGACAACTCTTGTTCCAGTTTTGTTCTGTGAGCTGCCAAATTGATATTTATGGTGGATAATTCGTTCACTCGGCTTGCAGCTTCTTCAAGTGATGTTTCAATGCTTCGCTTGGCTCTCATAACCTAGAAAAATTAAGATGTTTTTAAGCTTGCTATTAACGTTTTAATAAAAATATTTCCAGAATTATTTGGAACACCGTACAGTTTCAAGGCTGGTTCGAACTTCATCCAATTCTCCTTGAAGGGCAGTAGCTGTTAAACAAAGGAAAAAGGAATTTTTAAAGGCTGTATAATTCTTGTTTATGCAGTAAAAAAGTTCACACGTCCTTTTGCTCAAAATCAATGTAATTGTGTGTTCTTCTTGAAAACCTTACCTCGGCGTTGTGCAGCACCATATTGGTCCAACGCCACTTGCAATTGTCGTTGCACATCTTCGTAGTGGGCTTGTAATTCCTAAAAAAAACACGTGTATCAAGTACAAAGGCAATAAATACGGAGTTATTTTCGCTTGCATGCAATTATTGATGGCATGTCTAGACTCTAGAGTAAGTATTACCGTGATTTGGATAGAGTATTTCTTGATGGTCTTTTGCAACTCAATGTTATTTTTGTTCGAGACATCCAATGACATTTCCAACTCGGTAATCTGCATCTGCAATTTCTTCTTAATTCGGGTAACCTCGGTCTTCAACTTGGTCTCGGCCTTCACAAAGCAAAATTTATTATTTTATTATGTAACAAAGATTAACTTCTAGACAAAAATGTTTGCATTATGCAAATCTTATAAATGGCTGATATAGCTCTGTAAAAATCCATGCGAATTAAATAACAGTAATTTAGTTTTACCTCGATAAGACGAGCACTCATTTGTTCAATCTCAATAGTCATCTGCTTGCTACATAGAATAGATAATAAAAAAAAGTTCAATTTAGACTAGAAGACCCACAGACCTTTAAATCACAGTGGAGTTACATGGTCTTGCATGATAATTATACTATGGCATAAAAAGTGCACTAATACACACATCAGGCTTACCACAAGCCCTTCCAATATTCTGCATCTTCACTTTGCATATTAATACCCTTATTTCTATCTAATATCCCAACCCTTGGTGGAGGTCGAGATGGTAAAAAGTGCACAGTTTTTCTCGTCCCTCTAAATCTCGACATGCCAGTCTTGAAATCATCATTCTCGTCATTATTGCAAACACTTTCATTCATTTTGATGTTATTATGAAATCTTCCAAAGTCAGAAAAAGAAGAATTTTTTCTAGAGAACGAGGAGGAGGTCTCAATCTTCCCAACGGGATCTTTGTGCATTATATTGTTATACTTGTCAGAGATAGCTTTCATCCTGTCTTGGGTTGTTTTATTACATGTTACAGCTGCAATGGATTTAGATTTAGAAAGTGGAGAAAACCCATTTTGATTGCGTTCAGAGTTTTCGGTATGATAAGTTGTTTTATTTTGCGAATCGCCAAATTTAATCGAAGTGGACCCTGAATTTGTCGAGGTTGCTGCCAACTTCCGGTTCAAGGATTTGTCAAGTGGCTCATCCACAGTCTTAGTACGAGTCTTGGTCACGGAAAAAGTTTTTGAACAGTCAGAAACATTGGGGGAAAAGTGAGCCAAAACTGAGGAGGACGACATCGAATTACTCACACCTAATTTCACCCTAGACATTCCTCCATCAGCACCCAAAGTGCTTTTTTCTATTGCTCTGGACGAGGAAAATGACAGATCTGGATTACCAGCAGACGAAGACGCGAAACTATTACCACCACTACGTCGTAGGAGTTGTTGTTGTTGCTGTAATACTTTTCTTCCCCTTTCTCTCCCTTCGGATGCTTCGATCATGTCTTTCAACTTGGAAGATTTATTTTCTTCCTCGAGGGACCGATGAGCTTCTCTTTGAACTCTTTGTACAAGTGCAGGACTCAAAATGGACCGGCTACTATTTGCATGCTCCTCTTTGCATATTTTCTTATTTGGAGTATTTCTCAGCCTAAGTGGCTCAAGTAGACATCTTTCATCGACGTAGGGCAAATGGGGCAGTTCTTTACGGTCGAAGGGAAAGTCAGCAGTCAATTTTTTATCCATATAGTCTAACATGGGCTGGTAAAAGCTAAAAGCAAAGTCAAAATTGTCCTCGTAAGTTCTCCTTGGAGTTCTGAGTGGTTTTCTAGACTCTGATGATTGAGTTTCCGCTAGCAATCCGCGTTGCTCTGCCAAAATAGCCATGGCTGATGGGGCTGACCTGAGTTTTATAGAGTTGGATGCACACATTTTTTCAAATCAGTACAAATATTATTGGTCAGATTTGAGGGTAAAGATTTTTTACTTGTTCCACTCACTCACACTTTTTCTAAAAACTACATTTTCTAAAACTTCGCAAATCTGTGAAACTCGGTTTTACACAAAACTACAAAATTAAAGAGTTGTCTCAAACTTCATGGTGATCAAAGACAACTGACTGAATTGGCCTAGAGTCTGCCAATTTGGCTAGAAAATCAGACCTTGTTTATTGCACCACCACATGTGCAAATTTTAAAATATTCTGATGAATGATATGTTAAAAGTGGAGCAGTAAAGTGAATCCCATACAAACAAAAGATGGGCTAAAATAGACTTTCACTTGACAGGCAACATGTTACAAATTGGTCCACCCACTCTGCAATCCATCTCTATACCCTCACAACCAACCACATTCAAAGGTATCACCTTAGTACAAACAAATTGCAGACGTGAGCCTTATTGCCCTCTTGGCTCATTCATTTCATGGTTAATATAGAAAAACAACATGTAACTTTACATCAAACATATTTGAAACGAAACGTGGGAATTCTGCCAAAAATTCATTGTAAATTGGATAAAAGATGGTATTAGCTAATAGAGTGGGGCATAATATGTACACACACAAATGAACACACTGCTAGATTCACTTGAGATTCGAATATACAACAGACATGATTTTGGGACGTTATGAACCACTGATTAGGTCCACTTCATTCAATACATGTTTACAAGAAGCAGGAGAGTAACAGGAGGAACTTGCCCGAAGCAGGATGCAGAACAGTAGAAGTCAACTATGCAAGATGTTGATGTACAATAATTCTGTTCAATAGGCTGATTGAGTAGTAACACAGCAGTGACAGGTCTAACGAAATATCGGCGTCAGTCAGGGTGCAATGTGTCTCAAAATATCTCAAGTAACCTTGTGTTTCACATATAAATATACAAACATATTATGCAATTGTATGTGATCGTAGCCTCGCTGCTCAAACTTTGCTCCTCGTCCGTCTCTCACTACGAACATCACCCACGCCGCAGTGCGAGAAAGCAAGGAATACAAACTTTCTCCACACGTAAAAGTATAGAAATGCAAGCAATTCTTCCACAGTTTAAAAAGATGACCAAGAAAAAAGGACTACTCACCGGATAGATTCCACTTCTTCTTCCTTTTCTTGCAGACGACGCTCCATTTCGTGACGATATTGGTTCATCTCTGCAGCAAGGCGCTGAGACCGTTGTTCTTCAGCTTTGCGTGCCTATCAATTAAAAACACCTGTGTAGTTATATAGCTATTACATGTATTCATTAAATTATGAATATTTGAGAGCTATGAATATAAATAAATCATTGTTCATGATAATTTCATTTGCCCATTAAAGAGCATGCTAGATCCGAGAACAAAATGTAATCATGCTACAATTCACATCTAAATATTACGAAAAAATTATGACGTTTTACTTACAGCTTCAGCTTCCTTGTAAGCAGCAGCAAGTTCTTCACGCTCATTCTCAATTCGTCGGTAGTCAAGTTCCAACTCATGATAGCGTCGGTTAACCTCCGTAAGAGCATTCTTGGTTTCGGACAAGTCGTCTAAAATCATTATAAAATAATACTGCAATAACAGTTTGAGTAGTGCTAGGATGTTTATTTGAATACCTTGCAATTTCTTGTTTTCTCGGGACAAGTATTCCTTCTGTTCTCGGGTTTTGTCGAGCTCATGGGTAAGCTGTTGGATTTGAAGTTGTTTGGTACGATTATCTCGTTGAGCTGCTTCATAGAGACCGTTCAATTCATCCAGCTTGGATTTCAGGTCGGCATTCAATCTTTCAAGTTGGTCACATCGCTTCTGGAGTTCCCTGGCTGTTCCGTTGGCCTGCAATTTAGAAGCTCGATTAGAAATATTTACTCTAACGATAAAGACAACATCTGGATTTTCTTCGTCTGCCATTTCTGACGGACGGTACATACATATCATTTGGGCATAAGGAGTCTACATTAACCTGCCTGTCAAACAGTTCAGCTCAGCGAGAACGTGTTAATCATTTACATTGTTATTAGTGAGTAATAAATAACTAGGTTATCTTTTAAGACCTACTTTCTCAAGGTCGATAATTAGCACTTCAATTTCACTTTGCAGGCGTGACTTTTGCTTTTCCAAACCAAGGCATCTGGCCATAAGAGCCTCCACTTGTTCTTCTTGTTCAGAAATACGGATTTGGAACTTGCGCCTATAGATAGTCAAATAAATTAAATCACATTGTTCTTGTCGGTAATATAGGAATACACATTTGTAGGAACTTTGCTGACAAAGATACGCGTATAAATTAATACCAAATTACCTGATTTCCTCAATCTCTTCTTGACGAGCATGACACTCTGACTCATATTTCGATTTCCACAAGGAAACGTCAGCACTGGCCTTTGAAAATTGTCTCTCAATTTCAAGTCGTGATTCTGACTCTTCCTCCAGCATGACACGGACGGATTCCAATTCCATCTCGACCGAGTGAAGCTGGCTTTCCAAAGTGGATCGGCGTCTATCCTCCTCTTCAAGGCGTCGTCGAGAGTCATCCAATTGGCTCAAAATCTGAGACTTGAGGTAAGTGATGTTCTATTTTTTCCCAATGAAAAGTAAAAATTAATCTTTTTGCCTGGTGAAAGTGATTAAAGTGATTGTCATTGATTTACCAACCTCGATTGACACCTTAAGTTCTTGGACTTCCTTCGTAAGTTGGATGTTTTCCTGAAAATAGTTATTAATTTAAACAGTGTGAATAAAATAAATTTACAAATGACGAGTTCAGAATCTGGATATTACGGTGGAGATCCTTTGCTTGACAGAAGTGATGTCCACAACGGTCCTGTTCAATTCTTCAATCTTGATGGACAACTCTTGAACATGGATTTCCAGACGCTCACATTGTTTCAAGCTGGTCAACTGTGCAGAAATATTGGACTTTGTATGTTGAAAAATCTTTTATTATTAGATAAGAACATACCTTCTCCTTGTTGATGGACTCAATTTGAGACATGAGCTCGAAAACTTCTTGTTGGAATTTGGTCTTCTCCTTCTCCGATCTGTGGAGATGACAAATTTTATTACACGAGTCCAATATTATGTGCAAAAAAGCAGGCATTTCTTCAAGCCCTTGATGCAATGAATCGGGAATTCTCATACTGCTCAATACGATTTCCATTACATGGAATCCTTTTTTAAGGACTTTCAAGAGGAGAGAACGTTGTAATCATGCTTCCCGATTTATCATCATTGCATATCAAAATTTCGTCCGTTCCGCATCGTCAGTCACGCATTATCATTTCCATGCGTCCACTTATTTCAGCGAAACTCGATACAAAATATGACGTATTATTTGGCATCATGCATTCGAAAAATGCAAGGCCGAATGCGACCTAAATTTAAAATTACTTGGTTCATGCTCTTAAACATGACATATTTCGACCCTGGTGCTATTGGTGGTGGTGAATTTTTTGCGCACACTCATTATGCAGCGTATGTTTTCCACTTAATCAATTCATCAAGCCATAAGATCATATCTGAATACAAATCTTGTGCAAAATTCTTATTGCATTAGTAATATAATCCATTCATTTAGTTAGTCTGGCACTTTTCTCTCCTCAACTAAAAATCAAGCAGGAATGTGCTCTTGAGCATGGGCTAAAAATAAGTCACGAACGGGTAACCCCATGTAAATATTCAGGAGACACATTGCTATAAAGCGTTTGCCTCTAAAATAGATCGGATGAATTCCAGGCTTTTTGTTGTATGTATGTATTTGTTTCTGATGTCGTCTATATCGTCATATGCACACAAGCATGTATTTACATATCTGTGTTCTTCTGAGACTGCAGCTCTGTTATCTTTCGTGCATATTTCCACATAAACTAGGCAGTCTCAGATCATTATTCTCCCCTCGCAATAGTTATTCAGCAACCATCCATACTCATCTTGCTTTACATATCTGCATATTGCAACTTTAACTATTACCACTTATCAGTTTCCTCTTACTCCAAACGGAACCTATTATCAAGACATGCGTATGAATGACGATATCATTGTTTGCATATTTTGCAGTAATAGGTTCCTTTCATTCAAGAATTTTGTGCATATTGTCGTGCTAATACATAAATACATACATCTTTGGATTTGATCCACATTTTTGCCTTATTTATCAACTGTCAAATTGCACATTTTAAAACTCCGAAAAGCTTATTTTAATTTCTCACTTTTTAGCTGTCTAGTTGAATAGCATAATTAGCAAACTTGCAAAACTTTGGATTTGTATAAAGGTGTAAAACATATTGCGGTACTAATTGGACGATGCGGTGGACAGCAAATTAAAGTAGAATAAAATAACACCTACTTCTGCCTTGATTTTGCCATTTGATCCAATTGATCTTGATAGTCGGCAATTGCTTCTTGATGTTTCTTTCTAAGAATCATTGCAGTTTCCTCAGACTCCATGTGGACATCTTCGAGGAGTCGTCGTAGTTTGGCCAGTTCCGCATCACGTTTCTGGTTGATCTGGAACTATTAAGCCAAGAACCCCATAAACTTGTATGCCATAAGTACGCTTCTTGCGCATATTTTACATACATGTCCATGGGATCATACAGTTCATATCTAGGAAATAGCTACCCACCTGTCCCTCAACACCGCATTCTGCTTCCTCAAGACGCTCCTGAAGTTGAATCACCTGCACGCTCAAGTCGGATCGCTCGCGTTCAATCTGTAATCGCCAAATTGGTTTATTTATATTTTAAACTCAAACCCCAGCCAGCAAAGCTTAAATGCTGTCGCCATCCATAATCTCGTTTTGTAAATGGTGTGCATACGTATTTCCTCTCATGCCTAACCAGTTCACCTGCTGTTTTAAAATGCACACGGCCATAAATACGCTTAAGTATTCTACACTGTTCCTACCGAAATAACTCATACGGCGAAACTTTAAAAAGTTGTTTGCGTTGGCTGTTTCAGGATTGGCTGTGCAATAAACTGGCACAAAAAAAGATGTCGCATATAACATTACTGCATGAAATAATTAAAAATTTATGAACCAACGAATATATAGAATCTTATCAGTAGCAATAACTATGCACCCATGCTAATCGGGCCAACAACGGGTAAAAATATGAAGGTGGTCGAATATCGAAGGAAGTTGGCACTCTTTCAAAGTTAGAAAATCTCTCCAGCACAATTTTTTTGCGGATAACTGTGACTTCAGCACTTCTTGACGTTAGACATGTTCAAGTCGGCTGGCGTCACTTAATATTCAATGTCATCCGTATATACATCCTCACTCGTGTGTCAATCTACCTTGGATAGTAAAAAATGGAACAAAATAACCTCGCCATTAATTGTTTAATTTTAATTTGCATCTCATAGTTTTCAGTTCTGAAGCAAAATGACTATTAGAACACAGTAATATCTTATCATGCTTCAAAATTTGATCCCGGAATTGCAATGCGTGGTTTATTGGCTGTAAGAGTCATAACCTCCTTCTATTAGAAACCGTCTAGAGTTTCTATGCAGGGATATTTATGTGTGTATTTATGTGTGTACATGGGAAAGGTTGTCGACGCCCAATTATTTTCTACTCGGTCAACTGCCTCCATCGTATTCGTAAACATTCGAAATTTATACATGTCTAAATATTTGATCCGCTTTATCGTACTTATCCAAGTGTTTTATCTACACATAGCTCATTCCATGCAAGAGACAGATTTCAGCAGTGTTTCCTGTATATAAATGGAACCAAAGTGTGGGCATAATATACAAAATCAGCCAAGAGTTGCATTATGTAAATATAAGCACATATACAACACTCATCACATCTTGATGATTGCAACATTTATTTTCTCACACATTTCATGATTAGCTTAAATTTGTTTTACAAGAACTTACCCGTTGGCGAATCTCGCGTTCAGATTCCAAATCCTCCTGCACAAGTCTGATTTTGTCCTAAAAATGGAAATGACATCAAATTAAATTGTCCCTGTTCGACAACAAACTTATAGGTCGTAATTTTTAACGGGCTGGAGCCAACTTGATGACTAACAAAAAATTCAAGGATGAGACGAAACAAATATAGTTTTCTCATATTTCGCCCCCTCAACAACATCCATAAGGTGTTCCCTACAAAAACTTGTCTAGCGAAATAAATTACGGAGATTTAACAATTTATAGTCCATCAATTTTAAGCATTTCATAAAAATACGGTATCTACAAATTCGTATGATTAAACATTACATTTAAGGCTGAAGTTTTAGAACTGTACAGAACGAGATGTATGTACGTGATCCCTGGGTAAAATCTAGTCTAGTCGTTACTAGATTTCTCCCATGTCCTCATTCCTTCTTTCTAACAAAATCTTGGCTTTAGTTCAAACTCTTTCCAACGGATGAGTGTTACACTCTCATTTTTCGTGCTGGTAATTTTTACAATTTCACCATAATAATGTCAATTTTTGTAATTGGGTCAAAGGGACACTATACTTTTTCGTCATCCAATAAACTCGTCAATTTAGTCTTAGAATATATTGAAGTAAACTTATTTTGGAAAAGTAGGGGCAAATAAATTTATTCTCTTAGTCTACCTCAAGCCGACGAAGGGAGCTGAGGTCCTGACTGTATTCGATGGTCACATCTCCATGTCCTCCTCCCGTACTCGAATACGTGTACGTCTTTGACGTGGTGGTCTTTGCCATTCCAGCCATTTTTCGCTCCTTAGGAATTTACACTTTCACTAAAGCAGACACAAAATAATCGGATGTTAACAAAATGACGCCAACCAACAATTCACTTTTTTATAACGACGAAGCAATTAAAAATCCCCGTTTTCAAAAATCATAAATTTGTATAAAAACAATAAAGATATGTAATTTGACAAATAATGAAATAAATAGATCGTGGATGGAAATTTGTGTATTAAGTAGCACAAGAAATGCAAATCTCTGAGAGGAGGTTGGAATCCCTTTCGACCGACAAGTGCAACTAGGGGAATATATGCAGTTTTCAGAGGACAAAGAGATTGTGGTGCGTGGGGGGATGATGTGTATATATGTACCTTAGGAGGAACACACAGAGAGAGAGAGATAACAACAACACTGCCCGGAAACCACTGATGATGTCGTTGCCTTGTTGCAAGGAATTGATCAGCACTCCTTCTCGAAGATGATAAAGACACGGCGACGATAAATTCGTGTGTAGATCCGCACCGAGAAAGAAAATTCGGTCGATGATGAGACCATGGAATTAACCTCCTCCTCTTACTTTCATAGTTAGCAAGTTAGTTTACATGCTCATTCAACATGGGGCAGACGAGAGGATGAGTGGTACAGCAAGAATGTCTATACGTCAGGCGTCGTTTTTAGAAAATAACAACAGGAGGGCAATATGGGAGGATTCCCCGTCACACACACAGGATCGTGTTGCTCGGAGGAAAAGTGCTCGAGCTTTTTGCACCATGCGAAATAGCGATGGAGCGTGGAATTGTATCTGTGCATATGTACGTACATAAGAAAAAAATCTCGTTTTTTCCGAGCACATCAAGTCGGCTTGTGGGGGTTGCGATACGTTTTTGCATGGTAATCAACGGCATTGCTTATTATCTGTACCAGCTTTTTGGAGCATTACAACTCTGCCGAACCGAATTACTATACCGGGGAACTTGTAGGGATGAGCTACGACTTGTGCAGTGGAGGTTTCGATTTTCTTTTACTTTTCTCTACCCGAGGTTCATACATACTTCTTACCATTCTCCGTCTGCTGTTGCCCGCATTGACAGAGATCTCAAAAGATAAACTGGTTTTTTTCCCTGCAACCTATTCTTGGATATCCACACAGTTTACAATCTCATAAGAGATGACTTCACTTTTGGCCAATCTCCCATCCCAACATTAGAGCAAGTCCATTTATAGACACGACGTCTACCTCATCATCTCATGAGTGCGCCTAGTCAGAATTGGGACCATTTGTTTTTCATCGTCTCCTTCTTCTCTCGGTCGCTAGCTCGCTTCCTCCCACTCATTGGTATCAACGTTTAGCTTTAAATTGCATTATGATATGCACACAGGTTGTTGTTGAGAACTTTCTTGATTTGAAATTTTTGAAAGAAAATAACACAAACATACTGATGATTCATTCTGTTTCGGACGATATTCATTTTTTATTCAAACGAGTAAACATTCCTGGAACTTATAGTTTGCATGATATTATTATATTCTAATCAGACCTAAAATCACATATTGACATAACGTTGTACATTGATAAACAACAAAAAGGTTTACATAATTTTCCTCTACTTACAATGTATATCGTAATTACAGTTATCGTTTTTCTACAAGTCAGGTTGAAGAAACATTATCATAAGAGTAAGAATTATTTAATTCAACAACGATATCCACCACTGATTTTAGAATTTGGAGTCCAGCATTTTAAGATGTTACTATGGTCAGTGTATGTTGATTACACGATTTTTTTTTGGTGGGGGAATTACCCTGGGGGGCCTTATGGATTTATAACATGGTGTACATAGTGCACATTGGGACACAGATTTCTCTGGAACGGGTGGATGGATCCGCACAAAATTTTTTGGTGGTAATCTATATCTAAGTACCTCCACCCCTTTTGGGTATTTTTCAGAAATTCAAATTTTGAAATTTGTAAAAAAATATTTCGAAAATTCGAAAAAACCAGAAATTTTTTGTTTCGATTTACGAATTCCATTTGTAGTTACATTGAACAATTATGACCAAAATATGATTTATAAATACTGAACAAAATGATTATGAAATTTTGACATTTAAATATATGTTTAAAATATATTTGGTTCACTTCAACTTGATGTTTGATTTCATGGTTTTTCATGTTAGACAAACATTACCAGTGTTTAACAATAGAGGCTATTTTTACTAGAGCAGTATTAAATAGTCTAGTTTTATCATATTTTATCAAATCTGACGACCATGGTTCAATGTAACTACAAATGGAATTCGTAAATCGAAACAAAAATTTCTGGTTTTTTCGAATTTTCGAAATATTTTTTTACAAATTTCAAAATTTGAATTTCTGAAAAATACCCAAAAGGGGTGGAGGTACTTAGATATAGATTACCACCAAAAAATTTTGTGCGGATCCATCCACCCGTTCCAGAGAAATCTGTGTCCCAATGTGCACTATGTACACCATGTTATAAATCCATAAGGCCCCCCAGGGTAATTCCCCCACCAAAAAAATTCGTGTAATCAACATACACTGACCATAGTAACATCTTAAAATGCTGGACTCCAAATTCTAAAATCAGTGGTGGATATCGTTGTTGAATTGAATAATTCTTACTCATAAGTCTATAAGATCAGTCATTGAAGAGTAATAATGTAGCTGCACATATTATTTAAAAAATATTATATATTATGTAAATAGTATAGAATGGCATATCGTGCCAAGTCGTCTGAATACTATAAGAGTTAACTAATAAAACACCGGATAAAAAGTTCCATCACTCGTTACTAAACAATTATTTGTGTTTGTATTTAACTGATGCGGTGCAGATACATAAGAGATAATAAGGTACACAACATAAACCACAGGTACAACAAGGTCAAAGAAATGAAATTTCAACGACAATACTCTCTCTTAAAAGAATTACGCTAGTGGATCGGCTAATGGATGGTCTAACAAACCTTTCTTTTCGTCGTTCGAAGCACTAGTTTCACCTTCTTTGTACATTGTTTCGTAAACCGGATTAGCGAAATTAGTCCCCTGAAGAAGTACCTGCATGTTTAATAAAATAAAAAATATATCAATACTTAATAGGCACAAATTTATCAAGTATATATATTTAACACAAATTGTTTTAGCTTACTTTGTCAGAATCAAAAATTAAACTCGGTTCCGACGTATGATCCTCGTCTCCCTCATCCTATAAACCAATGATTAAATGTGCATGCATTAGATCAGTGCTAAATAGACTTTGGGGACAACGCTACGTAAGGTGTAGGCAAGTAATTACTTTGAGAAACATTGGATTGGTAATTTCTACAGTTCCACTATCTTGCATTCGCATGTGCATAAACGGTCTCCCTCTGAAACAAAATTAACAAACATAAATATAGATACAAATGAGATTTTGGATTACACGCAAATAGCAAATTTAGCTACATACTTTCTTCTCATGACCAAGTACGCAACACAGCCAGAAAAACTAGCAACCCTGCGAAAAAAATAATTATGATATTATAATACATATGCATATTTTAAATATACGTAGTATCAGTACCTGGGTCATAAGGAGGTATATAATAAAGATATATAAATTGTGAGACTACATGCATATCAAACTTACCCTAGAGCTACGAGAATGAAAACTAGCACTAGAACCCATGTGAAACCGTTTTCTTCATTACTTGGCCAAGCTTTCCCTTGAATATCAGGTCTATCGCATCTTAATCCATAGAAGCTATGACCCACATTTATATCATTAAGGGATTCATATTACCAGACCAATAAAATATATTGCATACCCTTGTGCACATTTGCAAGTGGGCAACATCCGACTATCAGGATTAGGCATACAAGTTCCACCATTAAAACAATAAAAATTAGTGCACACAGGATTCTGTTCGCATCTAAATCCATTCCATCCATTGATACATTTGCATTCTTTTTGCTGGTCTATATATGGCAATACACACAACCCATCGTGAAGACAATATCCTGCAAGCATCAAGAAAATAAGTTTCATTCAGCATACTTAATATGCATACTTACATGCGTTACAAATGTGGTATAAAATTATTTCTCTTGCCTTGACAAGGGTTGGTGAAACTCGCTTCAATTTCGCAATTGATTCCTACCCAACTTACTGGACACCTTTAATACATCAAAGATATCCGGATTCAATATCACGTAAATTCAATAAGGAAATACGAAGTGAATAATCCTTTATTTGATTGCGCTTACCTGCAGTACGCAATTTGTTCGATTACTTCACACTTTCCACCATTTCTACAAACCATATTCACACAAAGATCTACTAAAGTTGTATTTGGGTTGAATCCGGGTGGCAAATTTTCATTATTATAATCAAACGAGTTTTTCTCGCATGTGGGTCCAGAATATCCTTTTTGACATTTGCAGAACTTCCGCCCAGTCCCGTCAATCATACATTTTCCTATAAATTAAAAAGTGTTTAATGTCAAATTTAGCCAAAACTAGTGCACACCTATTCATTCTCAAACACAAAACTATAACTACTAATATTCTTACCTTCTGATTTGCACTTTAACTCACAAGCAACTTTTAAACTGGTACATTCAGATACAATCGGAGATTCATAACTACCAGTTTTCTGACTCGAACAAGAACATGTTGCTTCTGAACTGCCGGTTCTTAAACAAATACCTAAAAATTTAAATCAATAAATAAAGGTAAATAACTATTAAAGTATAATTTATAATACTCTAGCGTAATTAGGTTTATGTTCTACCAGGACTAGAGCAAGGTACCGCAGCGCAGTAATCTTTTGCTGTAAATGAAAACATGAAACGTGCGATTATTAATTAGTACAAAAAACTCCGTTAATTTTAAAAATTGTAACTTACAAGATATTTGTTTGTATTGTTGAATCAAAACGACATCGGAGGCTTTTACGACTCCATACGTGATGTCGGAGACGTTGTTTTTTCCAAATTTATTTAAGCGCAGAATCTTGTTACTGGTGTAGTTTGTAAAGTATAATGTGTCTTCAAATACGTCCAGCTTGAAGGGTTTGAGCCAACCAGGGGGGAAACGCTTGACAATTTGTCTATCCTTTCCTTCAAGGGTTGTTGATTCAATCGTAAGACTCCTCATATCCGTGAAATAGAGACGTTGTGCAGGATAATCTATTGCGAGACCAGTAGGACGTAAGCTGTGCACTATCACTTTTCTCCCACTACACAAACAAACGCAAATCACAAATTAGAATATATACACAAAGGATATGGTTTGGCAATCTCAGTAAGTGACATGTACATACCTCCCATCCTCATATGCATATTCGATACTCTGATAATCACTCCAAAATATACGTCTAATAATAGAGCAAAAAGATGGAGAAAATAAATGAATAAATTACATTATTAAACAATAGTAAATTATTTATTAATTAAAATCTCACCCCGAGATGGGGTCAACTGCTATGTCAAATGGTTCAGTAAGTCTTCGGAGGATCACCATTTTGTTTTTTCCATCTATCCGAGTACACGTTATAAATTAATGAATTTTTTTAGGCTGAATGTTAATACGTACCTAATGAACTGGCGGATATTGTCTTATGGCCAGCGTCAATATAAAAAAGTACTTTTGCAATCCAGTCAATACAAATTCCACGTGGGTCATCCAGACCTGTAATCTGTAAACGCACACAAAAATTGTCTAGAATGATAAACAAATGTATCTATATATGTACTTAATCAAAACGTACAATGTCGGTGGAGCTGGTAGATCTTCGATTTCTAACGGAACTAACGCTATTCCCATCAGGAGTAATATACATCATTTGAATTGCCTTGTTCGTTCTTGAAGACCAAAATAGCTTAATGCTGCCATCTTCGTCAATAAAGAAATCCACGGAATCAACCTTTGTTGGGGTAGAACTTATGAGCAAGTCTACGTGGTCTACATCATGGGGTTTGTTCAGACGCAATAAATGGTCTTCACTGGCAATAATCAATGTAGCAGAATCTCCTTTCGCAGAGCATCGAGTCGTATTGGCTTCAGATAAGTATCCTTCCACACATTCACAAGAAAAGGCGTGTTGAGCACGGTCGTGCTTCTTTTTCTGTGCAGATGACAAGAGGATTGATAATTAAATTTAGAGGAGTTACTAATGCTAATTACAAATAACATAGTAGAAAAATGGTGTTGGGGACCTGACTAACCTCACATAGTTGAGAACACGTAGCAAAAGGACAGTTTGGACAGCCTAGTTCATCATCTTCACAATCTACTTTTCCATTGCATACTTTTGAAACATTAATACAGTTTCCATCTGAGCAATGAAACTCTGTATCAGAGCATAAACTTGGATGGGTTGGAATGGGTTTGTCACATATCTGCTCATCTTCGCCTAGGATATAACAATAAAAATTAAATAACCAATCAAGGTAGCGACAACCAAGTGCTACATTTAAAGCATAATACTAAACTTGCCTTCAGAGCAATCCACACTCCCATCACAAACCCAAACGGATGGAATGCACTCATTGTTCTTGTCACATCTAAATCCGTCTACACAGTTCCTTGAACTGTTTCCACAGTCTTGTTCGTCTGCAATTATTAAAGTCATACGCCATCATTCAAGACCGGATAACTGCTAGTTCAATGCAAAAATAAAATAGCTTATCTTCAAATACCTGAACCATCCAGGCAATCAAATTCACCATCGCAAACAAATTTTGTTGGTCTATATAAGTAAACGCACTGATGAAATTGCATACTGAAAATGATTGATTACAATAACTTACAAGCACGTCTGAGGATTAACACACTGGAACTCAATTAGATTATTGCAGGATGCATGACAATTTGTTTCGTCACTTCCATCACTGCATTCGAATAAGTTATCGCACACGAAACGAGAATGAACTGTAAAAAAGGAATAATAATTCAGCATAACATAACATAAGCAGTTTTAAATTGAATTTTAGTAGTAATATTCAACATACTACAACGCCCATCTCCGCATTTGAATTCACTCTCTGAGCAATTTCTGAAACCATTTGGATTTTTGTAAGTAAAAGTTGGATCTTCTTCAAATGTGTATCATACATATTTATATTGATTACCGTGGGACACAGTCCAATTCATCGTCAGATTCAGGGCAGTCAACTAAGAGGAAAAATTGTAAAAACAATTATAATCAAATTATAATCTGGCATTATTATCATTTTATCCCAAATCGAGTTACCCTCATAGTCGCATCTGTCAAAGAAAAATAGAAACAATTTATTATATAAGAAACGATTTTTAATTACGTTCAAGTATTTGTATTTGTAACATACTTCCACCTAGATGGAATGCACTTGTGCGAATTTCTGCATAAATAATAACTTGGATTTTTTTCACAAGTGACGGGTTGTTCACATTCGGACATAATTTCATCTTCTCCTGGTATGAAAAATAAAAATATAATAAAATCATACTCGTTAATCATAATACATATAATGAAAATCCAAGGTTTACTAACCTTTAGAACAGTCCCTCTAATTTTAATTTAAAAAATTTCCAGTATTAAATTTAAATTTAAGTTAAATATAATTTAAGTTAGACGTTTTTACTATTCTACATATTTAAAACTAACCTCAGAATCACAGGTCCATGTTTTTGGAACTAAAAAGTAAATCGAATGTACATTTCGATTTTAAAAATTAATTATGCATGCTCATGTCGGCTACTGTAGGATCATTAGGGACGGATCAACTTACTGCATTTGCCACTATCACAACGATATTTATCATCACTACAAGTTCGATTAGAACAATTGTCTGAAAAGAATTGCCAATAAAGGGTTATTTAAAGCAACTTTGTAACGATCTAACGTAACCTGTGTAAAATCATACTTTCATCTGAATTGTCACCACAGTCGTTCTCCAAATCGCAGACCTTTTTTAATTATAAATAAGTTTAAGCCAACATTAAATTTTGAATTTAATATAAGCACAAAATGTTTACCCATTCCCATTGAATGCATTTCCCATTGGTTTTGCATTGAAATTGGGTGGAAGGACATTTGATTGGGCTACACGAATCTTCATCATCTCCAAAGAAGCAGTCCCTATTCCCATCGCACCTATGCTGAGTAGGAATGCACTTGCTTTGCACTGTTGCATTCCCGTGGCATTTAAAGTGAGTTGACAAACATGTGTACTTATCGCAGTCGACCTCTGAAAATAATATGCAAATTAGGTTCAGGTTAGCTCAAGCAAACATGTTGATCGTTAACATAAAATTCGTTAATTTACCATCTGCGCCATTATATGTGTCATTGGTTCCATCACATATAGCTGAAATTATTATGAAAAAGTAAGTTAAATTTATCGAAACCTTTTGATAATCATTATGATGACAAATTTCTTTTTCTTTGTAAAATACACTTACAAGTAGGATACAAACAAGTTGAATTTTCAAACTGAACGTGGCCAGGATTGCAGTTAAATGGAGGACACGATTCATGCTCTAGCAATAATAAATATAAAATAATTATAACAAATCCTTCATGATATGCATGGTATTATTAGAGCTTTATTCTACCATCTTCGCCGTCCAAACAATCTGGTTGACCATCGCTATAATTTTATAATACAAGAAATTCACGAACAAAATGTCTAAAAACTGACATTTATTTACAAATTGCTTGACATCACTCACCATTTCCACCTAAAAATAAATAAAAATAAAAATTTAATATTTAATATACTGCTTTTATTTTCATTACTTACCACTTTGGAATGCACTTTGAAGTATTTTCACAAACAAATTGTGACGTTGTACAGTTTGCGGTGCAAGACGTTTGATCCGAATTTAAGATAAAATTTTCTAGAAGAGTCAAACCCATTTAAAACATATTAAAAGTAGTAAATTTGATTTCAAGAACCATGTGTACCAACCAGCCAAGCAATGCACCAAAATAACCTACCTGGACAAGCACATATATAGCCGCCATCAGGTGACAACAAACAAAGACTTTGACATGGATTGTCTTCACATGAGTTTTTAAGCATAGGCCTTTGTCGATAAGGGTGAAATGCTTTAACATCCATGGGTCTGCAAATACAAATTTTATCCTATATAACTAAAACAATATTTAAAAATGTAATAATGTAGGATAAATACATACACATTAACAACTATCGTTGTTGTGAATAATAACACAAACATACCTGTGAATAAGCTTGGTAGTGATAGCCCTTTGGTTGTCCCCAGTGTATTTGTGGCAGGCGGATATTTGTTTTGTCTCCCAGTCCGACCAATAGATTGTATCTGAAGTCAGAATATTTGAATCATTTAGTTAAGTTATTTGATGTGATGGCCCAATATGTAAGGCATCCAAGTACCTTCAAAAGTTGTTAATGAAAAAATGTGATGAAGATTGGCACTTGGGTTTTGTGCTCGGCTGTGAACGATTTTTCTATTCTGTCCATGCAAATCTGCTACAGCAATGTAGTCTTCCTTAGCATCTGCCCACCAAATTTCTTCAGTCTGGAAATTTTAAATAAACATGTACCCAAGAAATTACAGCAAATTTGTTATTCATATCCCTAGATTTTATTTCACATAAGATGTAGACTACTTACCTCCAAAGAAAGAGTAAGAGCGTTTGGCCAGCCTTTAAGAAATAGTAAAAAAATAATTAAATTTCTGAATGAATATCTTCAATAATCTTTAGATTTACAAATATCTAACCTAAATTTTCAGATATCAATGTTTGTACTCTTGTGCCGTCCATCCCTGCCTTTCCTAAAAATGTTATTTAAAAAAATGTGTTCATCACAAAACAAAACTTAAATTATATTGAGCAGCACAAAATCATTACCTATGATTGGGTCATCCCCCCACTCCGTCCAATACAGATAACCACTAAACATAGTTTTAAAATCCTTCATTTGTAACAGTATAAAGTATGGAAATGAATCATTACAACAATTTACCGAAATGGGTCTAATACTATAGCTCGAGGGTCTTGCAGTCCAGCAATAATTATTTTTCTATGTCGACCTGACAATTTTGATACTTCAATAGTGTTTGTTCTACGGATATTAAGTTTCATTGTAATGCTATTTTCTGATTTTCAATTTGTTAAATTTATAAATACAACAGCATACCCTTTGTCACACCAGTACAAATTATGAGCCACCTGTAAGCACAAAAATAATGAGAAAATGAAAGCTTTATTTATTAGACAGAAGCTTTTAAATAGCATACCCAATCCACTGCAATCCCGTCGGGACTAGAAATCGAGTGATGCAACACCTAAAAAAATGAAATACATATATTGAAATTTTATATAATTAAATATCTCAATTATTATTACGCATATCATCGAAGCTTACATTTTCGTTCATTTCCACTTTTCCAATGTCTTCACTCCTATTTGTGACCGTGCATGAACGTTTAATTGACGAACCCAAAGCGGTAACATCACTCCAATATATGCACTGTGCAATTCATCAAGACATTAGTTATAAAATTTCATGATATATAAAACCATTATACGTACCCCAAAATCCCAATGAAAGTCCAGGGCCACAGCATTTGTCAGATTTTGAGAAATAAGGGTTCCGTTGTTGACTGTGTCATTTACAAGTCGAATATAGTATTGATTGGTAAACATAATATTGATTGGATAGCCTGAAAGCATACAAAAGTATGTTAGGAAAGTATAGTAATCATTAAAATATCTGTAATTTCATTTCAACAAATTAATAATTACTAGTGTTAGCTTTGCAAACTCCGTTCCCATCAGGAATGTAGCCTTCTAAGCAAGAACATGAATGCGATCCGACAGAGCTTTCACATTTTTGAGAGCATGGTCTTTTTTTGAGACACTCGTCAAGGACTTGACAAACAGTTTTGTTTTTGTCGTTCAATTCATATCCGGAAAGGCATTGACATTCATATCCAATGGTCTTATCCAAACAGTGATGAGGAAAACATGGATTATGTTCTTTCTCACACTCATTAATTCCACAACCAATTTCATCAGAATTATCTAAAAATTCAAATACACGAACTGATCAGTGGTTATATGTATAAACATGTATGATTGCAATTTGATTAGGGCAGAAAGCAACCTACCTCCACAATTATCAGCCCCATTGCAAAGTTCGGTCAAACTAACACAATTGCCATTTTTGCAAGTCCACCCATCACATAGTTCGCCATCTGAAACAGGACAAAACAAAAATTGTTTAATGAGGAACTATCTGTTTTTAAATACTGACATTTTTCGTTTTATTATTATTATTAACCTTCAAGCTTAGATTTGGAAACACATTGTCCATCGGAAAGTGTTGATTTATCAGGACCACATTCGCAAACTATTTGTTTGTGCTCGTTAAAAATGCAGATATCTTGACACCCTCCATTTAATATATTACAAGGATTTGTCGTGCACACTACATCCTGTGGTGATACTGCTACGATCCCCATAGGTTTAGGAATATCTTGACGAAGTATCTCAACATTTTCCCCTGTGTACTTATTTGCTCTTAATACGGAGAGACGCACCTGTCGTGACAATATACATATATAAACACATCATTAAATATACCCATCAAATATAATCACTTCCCAAGCCTTACCCAGTCAGTCCATATTAGATAATCTTGGTACACTGTGATAAAGTAAAACATCAATTATCGATATGAGGGGTTTACGCTAAAAAATGCCTCCTTATTTCAAAATCTGTAGTATCTGTCCATTTTTTAAATTTTATTACCTGCGAGGCTAAATGCGTGTTTAGGGTTGTGTCGAATGACAACAATGCGATTTGTTCCATCTAAATTTGTGCGCTCAATTTTATCAAGTCTAGCATCCTATAAAAATAAAAATAATTATCACATCAGTTATGGTTGGCAAATATGCTGCTGTTAAAATCAGGGATATATGTATGTAAATGCCATTGGTATTCTATTTAGACATAAATCACTTACCACCCAATATAGCTTTCTTGCAGGTAGGTCTAAAGCTAGTGAATTTGGCATTCTTATATCATGAATGATGATAGACTCAATTCCATATCCACTCAAATAGGCTCGTTGAATAGAAGGTCGGTCTACATAACAAATGAAACATTTCAATAATTATTAAACAATAAAATCTTTGTTATTATTTTGACTATGAAATTCAAATATGAGGCTACTATGATTGATATTGAAACTTTCAATTATTGCATTAATTATGACACAATTATTAACTGGGGAATAGTGATCAAAATACTGAAAATTTTGTCATTTTTTATAGATGATTATAATTAAAGGATTTTAAATCGTGCATACTTGAATCCCAGTTTGTCCAATAAACTCTAGATTCACATGGGTCGATGGCAATTCCCCTGGAAAATTTGGTTTTAAAATATGTATTGTGACTACATGTTTCGTCAACCCACCTCAAACATTACTGTTACTCACCTAGGTTTGTCATTAGGACTGAGCTTTAACAATTTTTGAACCTTTGCATTTGGCAAATGTGGATTGATTCTGTTGATTGATGCGTCATTACTGCAAGTCCAATACCTGAGGAAGTAACCCAAAATCAAAAAATAACTCAGGACACCTTAGTGAATTTAAGGATGAAACTACAATTAAGTTTTGAATATTTAGACATACAAATCGGAATGAGAAGCTTCAAAGTATAATCCTTCCACTGATCCTAGATAAATAATTGCATAGATATATAAATTCAATAAATTATGATATGTACAAAATTACTGAATTCAACCACACCTTGTTTTTCGGCTACGACACCATATTCAGATCCATTGAATAGGACGCTGTTAATTGTTCCCAATTGTACATCTAAGAATACACAAATATATAAATACAATGAGACTTTCATGGTGTCGAAATATTTTGGTTAGAATTTTTTTTAGTTTAATGATCGAACCTGAATAAAACAGAATGTTTCGCTTGTAGTCAAATGCCAGTCCAATAGCATTCCTTATGTGCTCACTCGATTGTATTGTTGGGTACGGATCATTAGGAGTGATTTCTTTAGTTAGATGTGCTGTTGCAATCGAATTGACTCGAGAGTAAGCGATAAATGCATCAAAAGCTGTAAAATAAATAAAAAACAATTCACTTAAAAAACCTGTTCATCATCCAAAAGGGAAACTATGTATTGATGTGTAAAGATATTTAACTCTAATGTATTACATTCGCATGATTTCTTGTCGCTTCCCAATTTCCCATGAGCACAAACACAATTGACCACAGTACCATTCCAGAAGCACAAGTCTTCACAACCTCCATTATTGGCAGCACATCCATTTGTTCCCATTTGCCTTCCTTTGCTGAATATTGCCAAATCCTTAATGGTCACCCCCAGCTCCTCCCTCACCGAGTGAACCATACTAAAGTTCTTCACTGAAAGAGCCATAATAGTTCCACCAGTTTCTCCACTAGAATACATATATAAAATCAACGATAATTTGTAGCAAACAAATAATCTGTTTTTAGATAATTTTGTTATCTCGTAGAATCGTACATGTCAACCCAGTATAAGAATCCTTTGTCTACTATTGGAGAATGGAGCTGAGATGTTATCAGCGATCCGGAATAAACCAGCTTTTTATCCGTTCCGTCATATTTCACGGACTCAATTTGGTCGTTTGAGGTGCACCAATACAACCGTTGATTCTGAAAATACATTAAAGTATTTTTTTTAATTGGTATATATAAATATATAAATTAATGGGTATTAAGGTATGGTTCACACCTCGAGATCGACAGTGACGTCAGAGGCCTTGACATCAGCCGCAATAAGTTTTCTATTCAGTCCATCTAGGGTGGCCCTTTCTACCTGACCTTTGACGATATCCGCCCAAAACAAAAGACCTCTTGCAGGATCTAATGCTAATGATATAGGTTTGTCTAGACCCTCTGTGATGAGAACATGATGACTGCTTCCATTCAAATGTGACACTTCTATGTAAGAATCCTTTGGATTCGCCCAGTACAAATTCTTAGCTATCCAGTCAATACATAAGCCTGAAACAGCTGTCAGGTCAGTAAGAATCGTTTGCTTTTCTGTCCCATCTCTCTTGATTCTTGATATTTTTCCTTTTTCACTATCCAACCAATATAAATGTTCCGCAGCTGTGGACCAATTTTCGTAAACGTCTTTTAGTAAAATTTGTTGTTGTCAAAAAGGGATATTTTACATAAATTAGTATGTTACAAACCTTCATCAACATCAATGTCAGTGGCAAAGCTGACGAGTGGAATTGGGACAAGCAAGTCGTCCGTGCGATTAGGAAGGGGACTAATTCCCTTAATTCCTTGCGAGTCAGAGAATACTAAAACCGGTTCAATTGTCCGACATTTAGTTTGATCCTTTTCATCCAGAGTATATCCCAATGCACATTTGCAAATTCTTTTCCCAACAGACGGTATGCAAAGATGTTGGCAGAATTGGGATGTACTGAAATTTCTATCGCAATGATTTGTTCCATTTTGTTCTTCTGGATCATACACACGAATTGAATAGATATTTTCTGTAATAAAATGGTTTACATGATACAATTATAAAATTGGGCAAATTCATTGAAATTGTGAAATATGGATATTAGAGCCAATAAGTTACCAGTATAATTCCTGACAAATTCGAACGTTCCACCATTTGTCTTATCCCCTTTTAATATTGCATCATGTTTCTCGGAAGCAAAGAAAATTAAATTTCCATAAACTGTGATCACATGTGGTTTCATATCGTCAAAGATTAACTTTTTCACTTCTTTAGTATGGAAGCTATAGTATTGGATTATTTCAGTATTCAGATTAATCCAGTAAAGTCTCTCACTAGTAAAGTCGTATGAGAGACTAGCAGGGTTTTCCAACGAAGGATTGTCTCGTGAAGTCGACAAAGTTTTTCTCTTTGAGCCATCCTATAAAAAAACAGAGAAAAGCAATAGAAACTTGATTGAAGGTTTTCAAATCTATAAAACATACCATACTAGCCATCTGAATTTTAAAATCACTGGTCGTGATTCCCTCTGGCCAGTATATTTGAGTTTTGTATGGGTTCACTGCTAACGAGTTGACATTTTTAAGATCATTTTTCCCTTGAATTATAGTAGAGAAGAACTGTCCTTCCAAGTTTGTAACCGAGATTGAATTATGTGATGACGTTTGGACAACAATGAAGATCAAATTTGATATCCAATCTACTCCCATTGCCAAAGGTTTACCTGCAGCTGTAACATAAGGAATGGAATATAATTAGAATAGGTAATTGTATTTCTATTTGTGTAGACTCTATTTTTTAGCAGTTAATTTGAATATGTTTTTCATTGCATTGGTCTATAAATATTTCCTACCTGCATCAATAAGAGTATCAACAGTTGGGTTTGCAATATTTGCACGTTTTGTTTCACCAGACTGAGAATCTGACCAGTAAACTTGTTTGTGCTAAAATTACAAAATCAAAAACCAAATTACTGGTGTTTGTTATACATTACTTGTAAATATGAGACCCCCAACGCTAGCGTACCTTGCTTACAAAATGAAGGTTTGCTGGCATTACAATTAATGGGTAGCTAATTGGGGGTGCTGCATGGTAGTAAACCTGTATAAAGATTCATGTTTTAGATTGCATTGTGTAAGCCTTGGTACGTTTACAATTTTTACACAAATGCTGGAATTAATTTGTTCTCTATTGATTGAACAATATTTTGTCGACACAACCTAATTTGCAAATAAAGTTATATAGGTACATAGAAAAGTAAACTACCTTGTCATAATAAACTGCTCTAATTTCGTTTAGTCTTGAGAAAAGCAGCATTTTCTCGTTGGCTAGAAATGAATATGAAAATTTTGTCATATTTGTATTTTTTGTCTACGATAATATTAATAGTAATATTTTGACATACTTATACAACTCCGGTTATCAGAACTAAGGGTCATGAGATGAGGACATCCGCAATCCTGAAATATTTCCATAAATTAGACAATTCTAAAACATCATAATAACTTTCATTATTTTAGCTTACGTGAGTCCCATTGACACTAAGAAGACAAAGATGTGAGCAATTCCCATTTTTTACACCACAAGGATTCACAATTTCTAAGAATCAAAAATGATTATGTATATAAAGTTTAAAATATATTTGTTAGTTTTAAGTATCAAAAACTAACTGCGTGGTTGTCTGGTTTGGTGCAAAATTTTAGTGTCAAAAGGTTGTGTATAAGTTTTGTGTATAGTTGTCACGTTCCCTCCGTGGAATTTGTTGGCCATCATAACAGAGTTGGATCTCCAGTCGGTCCTGTGAATGCACAAGAACAGATCATTTAAAAAATCATGAAATACAGGATTTCTAAAATTGTCTATTAAGTTGAATATGAACTTAATTGTTAAAGGTTACATGGCTTACTCACGTCGAATCTAAGCCATGTAACTTGTAAATTCAAACTTACCACACCAGCATGGATTCAAAAAGAGTTATTGAAAATGGATGGGATAAAGCTTCGTGGTCATGCAGAACTGAAAATAAATAAAAATTCATCTTCCTGAAATTATCGGAAAGGTTACGACTAGTTATGCATAGTTTTTGAAAAATAGTGTATCATCATTACCTTCTTGATAATCTGTGCCATCGTACATGACCGTATGGATCGAATCCAACCTGTACAATTATGTATTATTATAGTTCGATTATAAAAACGATCTTCCGGAACTTTCTTTACTACCTAGCATCAACCCAATAAATTCTTTTGAGCATGTAATCCAACGTTAAACCATTCGGCCAGGCACCTGAAATTAAAAAAAATAATGTAAATTATAAATCCTGTGTAGGATTTGACGTCCTATTAAACGAAATTAACGAATACCTTCCCCACTACTACCAACGTTAAATACTTTTTTGCGAAACTTTCCACTCATACTCGCTCTCTCGATTCCTATATAAATTAACAGACAAATCTATTTCTTCCCAGTATTATGAATATAATTTTTTGTTAATAATTTAGTATGAAAATTACTTGGATCGTCCGTTTGCCAATCACTCCAAAATAAAAGTCCGTAATTAGGATCGACGGCAATAGATCGAGGGGAAACCATATCTCCTGTTGATTAAAAACAACTTTAGTTTTAGTTTATTTGTATTATTTGTATTTATTTTTACCAGAAATGAGTGTTTCCCTGAAGCTGCCATTAAGCCGGGCTACTTCTATCTGATCTAAATTTGATTCCACCCAATATATATTTTCTCCAATCTGTAAATAAAAAAACATTCTGAGCATATTTGAATAGTTTTATAAACGTGCGTGCAGGACATATGACATACCCAATCGACGGCGAGTCCTTCTGCGGTAGCCAATCCTTTCTCGATAACAATTTGAATGTTGATTAAAGACCCACTAACAAGTGATCCTCGATAAATCTTGTCATCTACAATACAAAAATATTATTAATTATCTGATTGGGTAATTATCAAGAATAGGCACAAATTATCTGTACGATAGAATCACATTTACATACCAACTACATCACTCCAAAAAATGTCATATTTCCCATTTTGATAAAAGAAATCAAGTGCAATTGAATTTCTGGAAGAGCAAAATAAAACATGTTATTGATAGGGGCCATGTTGGCGAGGCGATTAATCTCATAAATACATACATGATACATCTACGTATGTATGTATGACGAAACCATAATGCATAAATTACCTTAGATTGGAAATTAAAGATTGAAAAATTGATGTACTATTGAGATACAATCCTCGCAGTTCATGTCTGTTGCTGAAAACCAAGTATGGACTTTCGTTGCTTATGCTACTACATGTAATCCCGTCTTCGCGTAACGCATATCCAGGGTGACAAAGGCATTGGTACTGCGTGGTTCCAAACTTCCAGCAGAGTTGAGAACAAGTTCCAAAAGTATCACAAGGATGACTCTTATTCATGCACTTGGAGTTATCCAAAGGATTTATGTGTTGGCCGTCAGGACAATGGCATAAATATCCTTCTGGAACAGTGGCACAATAATGCGAACAATTGACGGAACTACAAGGTTTTTCTGCACAACGTTTCCCTTCATCAGATTTATCCTCACAGTCAATCTTTCGATCGCAGACTTGACTTATTTGGACGCATTTACTTTAATGAGAAAATTAATTGTGACGAATTAATTTAATTCGTTTAATGTAATGGTTACAATATTTGTGAATTTTACGATACCTTCCATTGTCACATAATCTTGACGGATAATTACAAACTATTGGAGACTTTGGACAATTTTGTTCATCAGATCCATCACGCTTGCAATCTAAACAATGGTAATTTGAAAACATTCTTTAATGGCAATAATTGCGTATTAATTAGAATTAGAATCCAACCTGGAGTACCATCACATCGAGCTTTCAGAGGCTAAAGGTGCACATAAGTTATAAAAAATTAAACAAATCAAAATTAGAAACATAAAGAGCTAACAGTGTCTTACAATGCATTGACTCCCATCATGGCACCGGAATGAATGACGACCACATGATACATTATCTGAAAAAGTGGACAATGGGTAATATAAAGAACTTGACTCTTTCTTATAGTAATCACACATGGACCAGTATTGAACACTCACAACAATCTTCTTTGGATAATAGCGGACCGACATCAAAATCACATTCAAAATCATGAGTAACAAGAACAGCAATCCTAGCACATTCTGGAGGCTGAATCTTCCCAGGACAATTCAATTCGTCCCTGGCGTCCGTGCAATCGCACATTCCATCACAATGTTGGGTTTTGTTGATACATTTATTGTCAACTTCGCAATAAAACTAGATCAAAACAGATTATTTCATATTTGCATGGACTTTTGATTAGTAATTAGATTTTAAAAATTATCTGAACATGATTATCTACCGTGTCACTCCGGTTTCGATTGCAATGCGTCAGACAGTCAATATTTGGATGTTCATCTTCTCCATTTCCTGGACAATCTTTAATTCCTGCAATTTACAGCAAAATATTAACAATAACGAAAGTTTGTCAATTTCCCAAGTTTAAATTTCACCATCACAAATTAGTTCCGCTGGAATACAACTTGAAGAATTAGAACACTTAAATTGAAGTTCGCTGCACTCGGGATAAACTAGAATAATAGTCGTAAAATAACAAATATTAATAAACAATTATTTGATTTAATGATAAAAAATTCTAAAATTGCTCACCACAATGTTCGTGTTCATCTGAAGAATCCATAGCTCCACAGTCGACGGATCCATCGCAAACCCAAGACTGTAAATCACATGGATGTGTTATAAATTCAGACCCTTAAATCATTCCTGTTGTTCCATACCTTAGGGATACACCGTTTTGTTACTTTACACTCAAATTCAAATTCAGAACAATGAATGGTTCCGTTGGAACACGCATGTTCATCATCGCCTTGAGGACAATTTGAATGGCCATCGCAGACATACGCCAATGGAATGCATAGCCCAGATCCAGCACAATGAAATGAACTCTGAGTGCAAAATCCTTGTTTGGCATAGCTCCGATCTACAATATTAAAAAATAGGATTAAATAGGACAAACAAATAAGAAACCGGAAATTGAGGCGAATGTGTAAATATGTATATCATAAAAATTTACCACAACGTTTAGAATCCTCGTCAGAGTTGTCGCCGCAGTCATCTCGCCCATTGCATATCAAGTTTTCAGGGATACATTTTGGAAAATTTGTACATTTAAACACGCCAGGATCGCATTCCAACGGACTTTTGTATTTATAATCAACTTTACAAGTTCTGCCATCATTTTTCAAAGTATATCCATCTCTGCATGCACATGTGGATCCAGATCTTTCAGGGTAAGCCAAGCACAAATCTTCACACATATTGCTAGTGCATTTATTTTTTCCTTCATGAAAATTCAACCAATTAATCGAAACGAAACTCACATGTCTGCACAAATATAATAATAATGTGGTACCAAACAATATCTTAATACCTCTTTGGAAATCCGAATCAAAGATTAAAAATTCTGCAATATCTTCGTCATTTGAAATCGTCGTGAGTTCCACTTTATCCGCATCTACAATTGTCTTTGAAATATTTGCTTTCATAAGTTTTCCCAGTATAGTAATGTAAAAGGTCCCATTATAATATGCGAAGCCGGTTGGTTCTCCATATACGGTGACGTTGATACGAAACAGTGTCTGGAAAATACAATAAAATTTTAATCAAAATTATTAATCTATAGATAAGAAATGTTTAGAGAAGGAGTACCTCAGTTTGCAATGGGTTCGATAATAATAGTCTTTGAACAGCAAACTTTGATGTGTCCAACCAAAACAAATACTTATTTTCTTGATCGATTGTCAACCCTATTGGATGTCCTAAACCTTGAACAATTGTTTCCCTGTGAGACCCATCCATCCATGCTTTTTCGATGGATCCGTCACTTTTCGCCGCGCTCGATGCTAACGTTGCCCAATACATTATTCTAAAAGAAAATATAAAGAAATGCATTCGTATTAAAAAATTCTACAAATAATGTAAATAATTGCTCTGTCTTATATAAGTAACATAATTATAAATGCGTATACCCAGTTGCCGGGCTCAGCACCAGTGATCTTGGATGTTGTAGATTGGAATGGACCAAGAGCTTTTTAACTGCTCCAGAGTTTATTTTGCTGACATAAATTGCAGGAATAGTTTCATCCACCCAGTACAAATTTCTTCCAATATAATCCACTGCAATAGATCCCACCACTCCAATGTGTTTGTCCAAGTAAATTGTACTATCTGCTTGATACATTCCCTTTTTTAAAATCCGAAAGTTGGTTATATCACTGTAGTACAATGTTCTGTTTTTGTAATCATATCCCAATGCAGAGTAGCTTCCTTTTTTGACAACAGGAATCATAACGCCATTATTAAATTTACGAATAACTCCATTTTTCAGTGAAGCACTTCTAATAACTCCAGAATGTGCTTTCACATAAATCATGAAAAATGTACTGTCCTCCTCTGAAAAGGTAATACATGTTTATAATATTTACCAAAATATTTAAGGCTGGAAAAACCTAGGTTTAATTTAAAAAGAAATAGCATACCAACACATGACACGTTTGACTTTAAAACATATCCCTCTCGACATCCACACTGCGCGATAGGTTTTCCCTTCTTCCATAAAGGAAAACAAAATTCATGACAAGGATTGTTGCCCCCATAATGGGTCATACACGGATGTTTGACTGCAATAGAAATTAGTTTTGATTAATAATTAATTATGATAATTGTACATACACATACGTATGTGCTATGCAAGCTCAATGTAACATATTAAATTATAGTAATAGATATATTAAATTACCTCTTGGTTGTCGTACCCTGTGATAAATTTTCAATGCAAAGGGTTTGGTCAAATTACGGACCAAAGGTGAGAAGTGGGAAGGAGTATATTTGTTGATTTTGTTAATACTATTGTCGTGCATTGATATGAAATAAAGATCATTCTGAAAAACTGTAATGTCTTGTAAATGCTGAACCTGTACAAATTCAAACGGTGAAAGTCTTTAGTATTTGTTTTGACTACGAACGGTACTAGTTTCTTATATGTATACACATACCCCACGGTGTACAGTTCGTCTATTTGTACCATCATAGTTAATTCGCTCTGTTCGAGGAATAAAGTAAATCAATTCAGTAACTTTTACTTGTAATTTGTCCTAAACATAATCGTTCGTATACAAAATACTAGCACATACCAATGGAATCAAGGAATTTATCAACCCAGTACACCACTTTTGTTGGCATGTCTAAAGTAATGCCATGAGGATAAACAATCTTTTTTGAAACAATAACTTCTCGAGATGTCCCGTCCATTAACGATCTTTCTAATTTAGCTCCACTTCTTCCCCACACCGTAAAAAACATGTACCTATGTTGGACAAATATAGATAGATGTTAATGTATAACATTAGATGAAGACGCTGATCACGGTAAGGATTTGTTTTTTTTTGTTACCCTTGCATAGGATCTAAAGCAATTCCTCGAGGCTTGGCCACATTGGAGTCAATGATAATTTTACAAAGATCCACGTCCTCGTTACACACAAAAATCAGCTCTAGGGCTTCATCAACGAAATATATGTTTGTGCTTATCCAGTCAAAGCTTAGGTGATAAACATCTGCAAAATAAATGTGAGGGATCAGTTAAACAACAATAACCAACACCACAATTCATGCACAGATAGCGAATAGGTGAATTTGAATTGTATGTATGCATATTAATACCTTGCAAAGAAAAAATATATGGTTTGGGTTTATTCCATCCCTCATCCAATCGACTGCTTAAACCGCATTTCATCAGATGGGATACATTAGAATGACTGATCCAGCAAATCCTGCAAATTTTTCATAGTAAGTTTCTAAAAGACGGGGGGACAACGCTCATAATCCTCAACTAGCTTCGCCATACGTGTCATTAAGGTGATCAAAGTCCACTCCGAGCGTTCCAGTGTGGTTAGGACTTATGTATTGGGGATGTGAAGGGCTTTTGTTACCATTCAAACCTATCCATTTTATATCAGACGCATCTTGGAAAAAGATTAATGGTTTTCCTCTGGGCCCGTCTGGAACTGTTGTGATTTATTAGATTGAGAGTTCCCAGCCATAATGTTAATTGTCCGTCATCCTAAGTGTGTACAGGGTAAAATGAGTAAAGCTTGCTTACCATCATTGGCGAAACATTTCGTTCCAGCAGAACGATATCCATCAATGCAGCTGCACATTTTATTCTTATGCAGATTCAACTCGCAGACTTGGTCGCAGGCGCCATCCTCCAAGCACTCATTGGACTCTGCATTTCAAAAAATCAACCAAACTCATGTATAATTAAATATTCATTACGATTTTTAAATTGGTTCATGTTATTACCGATGCAACTTTTTCCATCGTGCTCTTGGCCTATTGGACAAAAGCACATGGCTTCTCCGGATGGTGACGGTTTGCAACCATATATACAGCCGGATTCAGAACAAATCGTAGAATTATCACAATATTTATGCTCGTCTTCTTTTTTTGGACATTTTGGTTCTCCGTCACAAAGTTCGACAATCTGTAATTACATATGCAATTCGAATTCTAAAAATTATCCATAAATAATTGGTATAAGTATATTACCTGAATGCATGTTACACCGTCATAGCATTTAAACTGGTTTGCCTGGCATGTTTTATCAGATATACCTAAAATATAGAATGCATATGTATATTAGTGAATAATATTATTATGCAAATTATTGCTTTCTATTATGTACATCTCTCATCTTCTTCATCACTCATATCCTGTGTTTGTGTTAGAGACCCAGGGACCGTGCCACAATCACTCACACCGTCGCATAACCACCCTGTGAATGAAAATTAGATCACAATTACACTAAAATCAAAATTCAATAATTCAATGCGGGACACCTATTTGTATATAGTCAGCTACGTACCACTGGGTACACATTTTCTGGAGTATTTGCATTGAAAAGTTCCCTCACGACAAGGAATGTCAGCAGGACAGTTTTCCTCGTCTGATGCATCAAAGCAATCGTCACTGCTATCACAAACCATCGATTTTTCGATACAACTAAGTCCATTTTTACACATGAATTGATTTGGCAGACATAACGAATCTAGAAACAATACAAGAATATATATAAATTATAATCTGAGCACTTTGTACATATATTATTGATAATTATTTATACATATAGTAAGTACCTTGCAAATGCAAATCTATTCCTTCATGGAGATCAACCACCGGGGAGATAATACTGTCGTCAAAACTCACAACCCTTTTAGCTGTTACAATTAAGTAAAAAGCAATAATATTGAAGACGGTTGACGAATGAGAGAATGTCCCCCACTTCGCCGTTTGTGCTGTCCACATTGCTGTGGAAGGTGTCAACAAATCTACATGAGATTATATCTGCAAATCTCAAAAATAAAATAAAATTAGTCACAAATGCAAATTACACAACATAGGAAAGAAAACAACGTTCCGTACATGATATTGAGTTAATTCCATTTGATCCGTAAAACTACATGTCACAATCGTCCCAACAGATCAAAATTTCAAGAAAACTTGAAATCTGTTGACCACTGCCGCATACAGTACACACTGAAAAAAGAAATTCATGGGGAACTTAGTAAGTAGTTCTAATGAATTATTTATACATACTCAATGTTCAGTCAGAATTCCGAATTCAATGACCATATCAAAATATGAAATTATACAGCTCACTCAAATTTTGAAGAACAAAGATGAACCAAAAATTAACAGCAATCATGTACATAGTTCAGCTCTGAAAATTTGTCATCCTGTTGTCGGCCTTACCTTTAGCACAGTCACAACCACAACATGCAGCACATGCTATCATCAATAATTACTTGAATGAAAAGCTGAGACGAGTTTTATAACTTTGCGAGTTGCACAAACAGTGTAAACAAGTGTGATATTCGAATTTAGTCGCACTTTTTCATTGCCCCGAACATTTCATGGCTTTATTGTAGCTACGGCTAACATTTGCTCCGTAGTCTGCAATTTGATGAATAAGCATAATATCTGGACAAGTATTTAGCTGTTATGAACTTTGCTGGAATTTTTACTTGAGCTGGTTTTGTGCAATGAAAAACAAACGACTTGATATATATTCTGCATAGACAAGAAATAGCGTTATTTTACTCTACGTGTGTACTATTTCTTGAATGAAATACACGGCACGTTATGCGAAAATGAGATATTATACCGCTTCAATTGACATTTATGTGTTATCCAAATGGCAAAAGAATAAAAACAGGGATCAGATTACTTTATAAAGAAATCGCTGGTTCTCATATATTAACACAACATTCCTTACTGTCTTTGCAGGCATGAGACTGTTAAATAATATTTATGTCTATAATAAGTATTAACATTTAAATACTTGGGGGTTTGAATTATGCAAATGTTTTTTTTGTCGTTCTACTTTTCAAGAGTGTAAGGTATCGTATATATGGATCGCTTTTACATGACGACTTTCTTTCATAACCAAGCGTAAATCTTACCTTTGCAACTTTGCAGACAAACGGATGAAATGCAATTTAATGGCGACTACTTCACAAGTTGATGGTTGGAATGAATTGAAATGTGTTGGTACCTTTGGAAAGGATTCATATTTCACTCCAGTAGCAGCCTATAACATTACGTCGTGCATTCTGCATCCTCCACATCCATCCACACTCTGGTGATCTTCCGCAATACCCGATCCGATTCCAAAAAACCGAGTCGGAATTTTATCGGGGTTTCATGCAGGGGCAGATTGACACCGGTAATCACAATTCAATTATCTCCAGAAATGTGATAATATTTCCGTAGTCTAATAAATAATGCAGACTTCAATAATTAGTGTACGAATTGCACATTTCCCAGTCATGCCATGTATGTATTGTCAATTTTTGCCATGTTATTGTGTATGCAAGTAAGTACATATGTAGTCAATAGTCGCAACAAACGTCGTCCATTTGCATTATTGGCTTATCCTAGTCTCGTCAACTTTAGACATTCAAGATATCGAATAAAAAGCAGGAACGAAAATCATAGAAATTTGCCAGTTATTAGGTTACGAATCATGAAAGGTATTATTTCAAGTGGCGTTGATGATGTCATTCTGCCCCGCTCGCTATGTTTGTGTTGGATTTGGATGACACATTCTCACAATAATCATCATCACACCTCCATTCATCATCAACTCTACCAACAATATTAACTCTTTCTTGCTACCAAGTCCAACAATTAAATCCGTTGCCACCAATTTCAGCCCTTGACCATAATCTGTACACAGTGGATTGACGAGCAGCGGATAACCCTGAAAGGTAGGTCAAACTTCGAGAGCGGAACGACGAAATCTTGTTTGTTTAAACTTAAAAGTGTTATGATTAATTTGTAATTTAATAAGTTCGTCTTTATGGTCTTTATGGGGGATTTACAACCCGCATCTGTACATTACATAATAAAGAGGGAGTGGTTAGGCAACAAACTTTCAGTTAAATAATTTAATTTAATTTCTACACCTGTATTTTAGGGCTGAAGACGTACGTTTGCCATATATTATTAACTGTTTATCAACACCACGTCATCCACAATATTAGTTGTTACTTGTTAGTGAGACTTTCATGTCACAAGCTATATAACGCCGACAAGTCCAGCTAATATTTGGATCTATATCCCATAGAAATTATGTCGACTACAAGTACACTTCAGGTAAGTTAATGAATTATTGAGCTTAATTGAAATGAATTGCAAATTTTTCTGGCGACTCATCAGTTCTGGTTTATGTATAATCTATAGAAAGCGATTGATCTCGTAACAAAAGCAACAGAAGAAGATAAAAATCAAAATTTCGAGGAAGCGCTACGATTGTATGAACATGGTGTAGAATATTTCCTGCATGCCATTAAGTGTAAGTGTAAATTCAAACTTGATAGTTATGATGGCTTAACCATTATGGCTAGCTTATAAGGTATACCATGATTAACGTGTTTTCAAATGCGTTGTTTTAGACGAGACACAAACCGATAAGTCGAAGGAAACGATTCGTCAAAAGTGTGTACAGTATTTGGACAGGTATGTACTTTTTTCCACTTTCAGATTTGATATTGAGATATGCACATGTTAAACTTTTTAACTTTGTCTAACAGAGCAGAAACCATCAAAAAATTTCTAAAAAACTCGAAGGGAAACAATAAAGGAAAACCGGTGAAAGAAGGTGGAACAACAAAGTAAGCATTAGTGATTCCACGTCATGTAATAATTTATTCGAATTCATTAACATGCAATATTGACGGATATTTTTAACATTTTAGAAAGAGTGGGGATAAAGATAGTGACAGCGACAGCGATGGAGATGACCCAGAAAAGAAAAAATTGCAGAACAAACTAGAAGGCGCAATTGTTGTAGAGAAACCAAATATAAAATGGTCTGATGTGATAGGGCTTGAGGGTGCAAAGGAAGCTTTGAAGGAAGCTGTGATTCTGCCTATTAAATTTCCACATTTGTTTACCGGAAAAAGGACCCCATGGAAGGGGATCTTATTGTTTGGCGTAAGTGACGATAGTTGTTGATAGGCTAACTATTTTGTTACAAATAACAATTATGTATGAATAAAATTTAAATACATTTTTACAGCCTCCCGGAACAGGAAAATCGTACTTGGCGAAAGCCGTCGCAACTGAAGCTAATAATTCAACCTTCTTCTCGGTATCGTCATCAGATCTTGTGTCCAAGTGGCTGGGAGAATCTGAAAAACTCGTCCGAAACCTGTTCGAACTTGCGAGAACCCACAAGCCGTCAATTATCTTCATTGATGAAATTGATTCTCTTTGCTCCTCCAGATCCGATAATGAATCGGAAAGCGCAAGAAGAATCAAAACAGAATTTCTTGTACAAATGCAAGGAGTTGGAAATGATACAGAAGGGATATTAGTACTTGGAGGTAATAAATTTGTGTACAAACCAAAATGTTTAGCTAAATATGTTTAATCACTTTATTATAATTCACAGCAACAAATATTCCATGGGTTTTGGATGCTGCCATTCGGAGAAGATTCGAAAAAAGGATTTACATACCACTTCCCGAAAGTTCGGCTCGAACCAATATGTTTCGTGTTAATTTGGGAAATACACCAAATAGCCTTACGGATGAAGATTTTAAATTGCTTGGATTGAAAACGGAGGGGTAATAACATAAAAAAACTGTCCATTGAGAATTAAAATACAGACGTTTAGAATAATTATGTAAGCTTGCCATAAATACAACCAATAATAATATTTAATAGTTATTCCGGAGCTGACATCAGCATTGTCGTCCGAGACGCACTAATGCAACCAGTGCGAAAAGTCCAGACGGCGACCCACTTTCGTAAAATCACGGGACCCTCCAGAGACAATCCTAACGTAATGGTGGACGATTTATTGTCTCCATGTTCTGCAGGCGTACCTGGAGCATTCGAAATGACTTGGCAAGATGTTCCTGGAGAAAAACTGGCAGAACCTCCAGTGACGATGGTAAATACAATTTGTTATTACTTCTGAATCAGTAGTGCTGATAGATTTATTAATATCGTTACACATGCAATAATTTGTACAGAGCGACATGCTAAAATCATTGTCCACGTCGAAGCCTACTGTAAACGATGAAGACTTGAAAAAGCTAACCAAATTCACCACTGATTTCGGACAAGAGGGATAAGTGGCGTGAATTTTATGATGACATAAGATGAAACCGTTAATATTAAAGATTATTCCTAATGATAATAATTATTCAGTTCCGTGCTTTATTACATTATTATATTATCATGCAGCGTAAATTTACATAGAATAATTGTAAATACCAACAACTATTTACCATATTATTCAAGCCTATATTAAAATCTTTTGGTATGCATTTAAAATATTGGAATTGTTTTTTAAACAACAATAAACTCAAAGCTGTCATGTTTCAGACATTATACATAAACAAAACAGGATAAATATATGGTGATGTAAAACTTTTATCATGATGAGCGAATAAGAGACAAACACGTATGCATTTTTATACTTTTATTATTATTAATTCAAATACGTTCAGTTCAACACAAAGACAGAAACCCATTGTCACATTCTAAATAAATCAACTTTTTAGATAAAGTTTTCAAACATAAAATATAAATTCATTCCAGTAATTAAAAACTTGCTTCAATGATTATTAATTATTTTACTACACGCCTAAAGATCCATTTAATTAGTATTAGCCGAGAAATATTTATGAAAGTACGATCATATCGATATACACGAAGGTGAATTTTAATTTTACATACGTTTGCAACATTCGAAATAGTTACGATCAATAATGTTACGCACACATTTTTACTGCCCTCCACCAACCGGGAATAGTGCATTCAAGATGGTTTCCAAGTCGCCATTCTTGGCCACGACAAGTCGAGACAACCATCCGTCCGCATTGGAGAAGCCCATCGCCAATAGTTGATTCAAAGTAGTCGTGCATCGAATATCCATTTCAGGAGAACCGTTTCCATATGATGGAGGCCCGCTGTTGGTCCCTAGTCCAGGCCCACCCGGGTTTGTGACGATAGGAATGTTTCTCACCATGGAATTCATGGCCTGGCTCACCCCACTCAAAAGTTGTTGAAGCTGTGGAGGATTTAGACCAGGATACAAGCGTCCAGTAGGTGTTTGCGCAGGTGGAACAATTCCAGTAGTAGTAGTTGTTGTTGCAGTTGTTGCAGGAGTACTAGATTGACCATTCGAAATGGTAGCAGCAGCAGGTGGGGGTCCAAAAATCGATGATTCATTTTGTTGTGCTCCCACAGATCCAGGAGCCTTAAATACAAAACAATTCGCATTTTAAAAATAAGTACATGAATATTGATAATAATTATTATGTCTATTAATTAAAATATAATGCAAAATTCTGTATAACTTAAAAACTATTATGACGTACCCTGTCAGTATCCAAAAGAGTCCATCCAGAAGAATCTGCATCCAAGTCCATGTTCACAGACTGAGCAGCAGAGACTTCTTCTGGAGCCGAAGGAGCAGAAGCTACCACTGGTTCAATTCCTTGTCCACTCAAATGAAGTTGTTGCATGTGGGCAGCCAAATTAGTTTGTGGAACACCAACACCTTCATTTGTTGTTGACTGTTGCTCCTGACCTTCATTCGCTGATTCAGTACCATGTGTTGCGTTTTCTGCAGTGTTACCAGTAGGTGTGGCCATGGGCTGAGAAGTAGTAGAGTTTCCAGGCTCAGTCCTTGGTTGACCACGGTTTCCATAATTGTCATACAATTCAACAACATCAATTGGGATTCCTTGTAAAGCAAACAGGCAGCAATTAATATTACAAAGTTATTGTTAAGCATTAGACGAATTTTTTCTCTATGAACTTACCAAATGCATTCAAGAATTCCTGAATTTGAGAAGCTGCTGAAGTAAAGTCGAAAGCTTGTTGTTGTTGTGCTTCAGAACTTCCTCGCGGCTCGGAATCATGTCCTGAAAATCCTGCTGCCGCTGCTGCTGCGCCAGTTGCAGCCTGTGTAGCCGACTTTGCATATGCTTCAGCTGATCTTCGGTGCTGATAAGCCATCTTCTTCATGCACTTGGCCCACTTCTTCATTCCCTTCCGGCCCAAACCATAAGGGCAATCATTGGGACCCTTGGGGTCCTCAGGACCACTATCGCCTTCCGAGTCTCTACCACTGGCATGTCCTGCCCGTCTGTGGCATCCTCTATCGCGATGATGCCAATGGTGACGACCTTGAGTTTCAAATGGAAACCCAACTCCAAACAGGCCTGCACTGCCGCCACCACCACCATGATGCCGTCCAAATCCAATTCCAGTGGTGCCCAGAAAACGCTACGAAAACAAGGGATATATATAACTTGGTAACACAACAATACTTCTTCATGCTAATAATTTCATAAACCACTTACTTGCATAGCACCCCTCGTCTGCTCCGGAAATGCGATTCTCATCATTACATGACCTGGATGATTACCCTTTCGTTCACAAGTGGTGCACAGGTCAAAGTCAACGCATTCCATGCACTTGTATCGAAATCCACGAATTTCACCGCTACAGACATCACAAGTAACTCCAGGGTGTGCCATCGTATGCATAAAAATTGGTTGTTCTGTCCCGTTGTTTGATTGTCCTCCATTTGCGCCATTTTGTGGTGTCGGAGTCACTGGCGTCTGATTTTGTCCTCCATTCTGATCTCGAGGACCATCGCCAAAATGTCCGAAATCCATTTTAGTTATTGACTATAGGAAAACAAATTGCAGTAGCAGTTAAAATCAATCACAACTGTTAACTGTACTTTAAGTTTTTTTAGCTAAAATTGATTCACAAACCGAAAAAAATTAATAATACACACAGTGGAATGAATAAAGTTGAATGATAGTGCTTCCACAGATCTGGAATAGAACTGACACTGAGTTCAAGCAATGGAACCTTATTTATGAACCAAACTTGCTAACTCATTGTTGCAAACGTTGCGTTATGAATAAGAGAAATGACTTGCGACTTTTAGAAAGGGGCCGTCCATAAATTACGTAACGCAAGAGGGGGGGAGGGGGGGTCATGGGAAGAGCGTTACGAATTGTTATGTAGGGGGAGGGGGGTATAACAAATTTGTTACGTAACGCATTTCATGAACGCGATTAAAAATCGGATTGAACTGATGTCATCCAGAAGGTTTCAGTGTTCGCATGTAAATATACGTTTTTCATTATGGTGCGCACATTAAAAGAATAGTACAATGCTTGCCTACTTGTAAACCATCATTCCTCCACAGTGACCTTGGAGGGCGATGGTGTGACGTATGTAAGTTCCACGATTAATTGAGCCTTACATTTAAGATGAGAATTTGATCGGAATTTGTCGATCACCTGAGCCCGAACGAGGTCACTCAAGAATTGTACTCTTCCTTTATTGGTCGCACCATAGTTTTCCAGGTGCAACTTGACAAAAGGTTCCATTGTGAGTCTTGGTAAAAGTTTAGAGACCTGTAAGAATTACAATTTCCATTTCTTGTCGAATATGATTGCGGTTGTTCTTGAACAAGAAATTTACAAAATTCTAATTTATCTAGCAATTTAAAATAAATAGAAGCAATAAAAGCGACACTTGTTTACACAACCTGGAACAATTGGAAATTTTGCAAGTGACTATTAAAGAAATTACCTGCGGTGAAATCAAATTTACGTTACGTTACGAAGGGGGAGGGGGGGGGGTAGTCGAGAAGCGTTACGATGCCGTTACGATGGGGGAGGGGGGGTTTAAAAAATGACGATTTTTGCGTTACGTAATTTATGGACGGCCCCAAAGGGAAACAATCTTACTCATGATGATGGAAGCATTTGAGCAAGCTCAAACCCACCTCAGCATAAAGAGATAGCATAATACAATTTTTGGGTGAGAAAATTGCACCATCAGCCGAATGTAAAACAACCCATTAAATAAGAATACGCCAAGGAGCTATCAGTTAGTAACCAGCAAGTTATTCTATGGTGATGGTGCACGTAGTATATGCAGTACAAAACCTTGGCATGATGAGTATGACTCATCCAGCTGATGACCATCACCATAATATTACGTTCGTTATTAGCCAACCAAACATGCCCGCTTGTATATTATGCTGCCAATATATGCAAATAGAATGAACCTTATTTAACCTGGTTATCATGATGACTCATTCGACACTCGAATGTTCTGGGCCCTTCGACAACTTTTACACGAAATCGTATTATATCTTGCAGTACTCAGATAATATTGTCAACTACCAATGATGCTGAAATTAAACCCTGCTGGTTAACCAGTATATCTTTGGCAAAATAATGGATTAAAACGAAAATAATTAGCCGAATTTTGAATTATGGAAGGATATATATATATTATATATTTACACACATGCTGCCTTTAATAATACTAAATCAGTCATAGTATCGTTAGTGCATAGTTAGTTCGTAGTTATTAATATTATTATTATAGATGTACATGTTGCCTATCTATATGGAATATATGCTGTCGATGCTAATTTAATTTTGTACAACGTTTTAAGACTCTTTTAAGTATAATGAATCAGATACGAAATACGAATTCAAATTTATATACTGCTGAATAAATTGCTCACCTGTTCCTTGTATAGACTTGATTTCTTTTATATCATCTGTCAAACCTCACAATCTGACTGGTTTTCGAAATTCAATCAAATTATAAAACGTCAAAAAGAATGTTCTTTTGCGTCGTGACTTTGCGCAGTGTAAACAACTGGCAGCTGATTTTGGTCAGACGAGGAGAAACCTGAGATCTTCTCTGCGGGAAACGCAAACTTGCTCACTTGTTGTTTCCCTAATTTCAATAGTTTGTGATTTGTTTGTTGTTGTACTTCAAAATTTCCAACTCTGGGATCTTTTCTTCTAAAATTGTACAATTTTAAGGAACTCTCTTGAACACAATCAACGTACTTAATCGTCCGTCATGAGCAGTGCTAATTATTTAAGCAGCGGCTGAGGCGAGTAGTAGATAGCAATTTGTTGACAAATGCAATATAATTTAATAAATGTTTAATTATCTTTCACAATACATCATAAACTGTTTGTCTATACTTTGATTGTGCATATTTTATTATAAAACACATGCATTTGTGTAATTACAATTCAAATAATCTTCTCATTTAGGCTAATTCAACTTTGGAAGAATGAATTGGTTATTAAATTGAAAAATAAGACAACGGTTTGTTCGGAACAATACCAATGGAAGCGGCGGCGGCAGCAGCAACAACCACTATCAGTGCTCGAACAAGTAGGTTAAGTGCTGAAGGGGTCGGTGCTCGGGTGATACGAGGAATTGACTGGAAATGGGGGAAACAAGTAATTCAAATTCTATGTAATGGCCGTTTATATTTTATTCTTTATTTCCTATTATTGCTTTGTAGGACGGCGGAGAGGGTCACATAGGAACGATACGAAATTTTGAATCTCCAGAAGAGGTACTTATCCAAGTTTTGTATAAATTAGAGTAAAAATAAAATCGTGATAAAGTTAATAATGTCTGAAAATTGAAGGTTGTGGTCGTCTGGGATAATGGAACTGCAGCAAACTATCGATGTGCTGTTGCATTTGACCTCAGAATTTTGGACAGTGCTCCTACAGGTGCATTAAAATTGTTTAAAAATACAGATAATTAATCATAAATTATCGTGCTTAATGTATAATTATATCATTTAGGTATAAAGCATGAAGGAACAATGTGTGACACTTGTAGACAGCAGCCAATTTTTGGAATCCGATGGAAATGCGCAGGTATAAAGAATATAGACATATTTCGTGCATGAAAACCGGTCACATATATAAGAACAAAGTGTAAATGATACGTTATATTTTTAAATCACCAAATCAGAGTGTTCCAACTATGATCTCTGTTCCGTCTGTTATCATGCTGATAAACATTCTTTGCGACATCGATTCTCTAGAATTACAACCCCAGAGAGCGGAAGGTGATGTTCTATAATAACCTTAAATATTCAAAACCAGTGTTTAACTAATATTTTTCACACTTTATGTAGAGCTTTGGTTGAACCTCGTCGAAAGAGCAAAAAAATTGCTGTACGGGGTTTATTTCCTGGGGCTCGTGTTGTGCGTGGGGTATGCAGCTCTCTTTTTCATTCATCTTCTATCAAAATAAACCAAGTAAAGATATGTTAGGTATAATACTCAATTTTTTTGCAGGTGGATTGGGCATGGGATGAACAAGGTAAATTTTTAAAAAATGTCAGCAAAATGAAGACATTTCGGATAATTCTTATGGAGCCTATAGTATGTTTTTGCCCATTTTCAAGTTCAATGTTATCTTAACGTAACATTGAAGTCATGTAACGAACCCTTATGTGTTAGTAGATAGATGGATTTATTTATTTCTCATCTGATATGGCCGAGGCCCTCATCATTACAAATTACAGAGTTGTACATATGTGCAAATGTAGATAACCAAATAGGTAGGTAGTCAGAGGAATGGAGGAAAAACCTAACTATGGTGGAGAGTTAGGAAAACCTCCATCACCTCTGGGAATGTGGCCCAGAGGTCCATTCGGCTCTGACTACCTGGACACCAGATAGGACAATGAATGATAGAGATCATAGGTAGATTCCATGAGATAGTGGTGATATCCAAATGAGGACGGCGTCGTGACGGCGGAAGCATGATGAGTGAAGGTTGTTGGGCGGGGCGTCCACGGACCACGAACTACCTTAGCACCCTCTCGGGCACGGGCTACGTGTCCCCTTCACGGTCACACAGTGTGACCAGGGCCGAGTGACACTACCCACTTGCCCCTTCACCCCTCACAGCACAACCGGGTCATGGGACCCCCGTAGGCCCGACTACGCTGCCCACCGCCATGCACGACCCCGTCCTCACTCTTCCACCAACCACCCCCCACAGTCACCACCCCGACATACCAAACAATGACCTACCTGGGGGAGTCCTCCATGGCGTAGATCCTCCCGTGCACTGGGTCCGGCGAATCCATCTTCGCCTGATGGCTCAGCTTGTCGTTGCTGGGACGGGTGTGGCAGGGGGTGTCACCAGGCACGCAGGTGGGGGTGTGAGTGGACGAGGCTCACATGGCGAAAAGCCTGGGACACACTTCACTTGCCCTGGCACACCCGCGACCCAGATGGAAGAGAGAGAATCCAGTTGCAGAGCGAGAGAGAGACACGTCGTGCACGGTTGGAAGCCAAGGAGGATCTCCTTATGTTAGTAAGATCCAGTAAAAGAGCATAATGACCAAAATATAGGTGCAGTAAGGCATGCCTTTATTTTAAGTTTTAATGCGTTTCGAAAGGTTAGGGTATTTTGGTTTGTCGCAGTGATGTACTAAATGTAATTGTGAATGAAATAGATGGTGGAAATGGTCGACGAGGAAAACTGACTGAAATCCAAGGTAAGATAAAATCGCTACTCCATTAAATTTACTTCATTGGATCCACATATATTTTCTGAATGCACTTATAATGTCCCTAGACTGGTCTGCAACCAGCCCTAGATCTGCTGCATATGTAATATGGGACACTGGAGCAAAAAATTTGTATAGAGTCGGATTCGAGGGAATGGTAACTACAGTACATACTTAAATATTTCGATAAAAATAAATTATTTTAACAGTATGCGTTTACATAATAACAGGCAGATTTAAAAGTTGTGAATGACGCAAAGGGGGGTACAGTTTACCGAGACCATCTTCCGCTTTTGGGTATTTATAAAAGTTATTAGTTATAACTATAACTTATAGTTATAGCTATAATTGTCTAATCATTGTTCTAGGTGGAGAAGGTCCAAGAAGTAGTATTCAAAGGATTCAAGTTAACGATCAGGTTTGAGGAGCAGTTGTATTATTAATTATTACGCATTTTGGTTGTGACTAGTTTTAGCCCGAACCAGGGAATATGTACATAATGATCATGCCTGTCCGTATAACTTCTTGCGTATAACGTCTTGAAAAGCTAAAATTTTACACATAGATCTCTAATCATTTCTCATGAAAGAATATAAGCTTAAATGTGAACAAAATGTCACCAGAATTACCCTAGCCGGTGACCCACACCTATTTCTACAAGTTACCATATTCAACAGAAACTTTGCATGTAGGCTAACAGTTTTTTTTTGAGTAACAAATGCAACTTTGGAATTTCGAAAAAATGCATTATCCTGGTTCGGGTTATGTAAAAGTTGTACTGATGGGTTTTTAATATCTTGTTTGGTTTGCTTACTTTAGGTCAACATTAACTTGGGTAAGTTTAAAATAAAATTTTTTGTATGGAGAGAGTATAAATATCCCATTTCTGTGTTTCCTGTTTGGGTCCCCTGTGATACAATTTTTTTTGTTCTAGAAATTGATGTCGTGCAGAGGTAAGCTATTATTGATCAGCATCGAATAAATTGCATTAGGTTTATGTACTATGTATCATCAGTGTGACAACTTACATAATTATTTGCTCACTCTTTTAAAAGCCTGCAACATGGACATGGGGGATGGACAGATGGAATGTATGAGTGCCTTGGCACAACAGGGACGGTTGTTGGGATTGACGAGGATAGAGATATCGTTGTGGCGTATCCTTCTGGAAATAGGCAAGTTGGATAGCCATCATCCAATGGTTGTATGTTTTATTGTACATATTGATCAATGACCGAGTCTACTTGTTTGGTGGTTTTAGTTAAAAATTTATTTTTGTTATTTGCCATTTAATCTAAGCTTGAAATTTCTAATTAATTTTTTCAGATGGACTTTCAATCCAGCAGGCAAAGAATTAATGAAAATCTAAAAATTTGAAGTTCACTGTTTTACTATTAAATTTTATTGGTATTAGTTCTGACGAAAGCCATAGCCACACCTTGTACAAGTATTGGTGCTGCTAGCAATGAAGCATCTTCATCATCCGAACCAACCAGTGATACTAGAGAAATTTCCAGTTGTGGATTTACTGTTGGAGATCTAGTACAAATATGTGCAGATTTGGAACGTATGAAAATTTTACAACGTGGACATGGAGAGTGGGCGGATGCAATGCTACCTGTAAGTTTGGTTTGTTATGGTTGGCTGTACCGTTTTTGGAAAACCTGGTTTTTAAGTAAGGAGATTTGAAATGCAATGTCGTCCAAGTAATTGACTTCGTTGTATTTTAATAGCATTGCTTCATACGTCTCCAAAATAAATCATGTTTGCTCTCTGAGTGTTCTTGCCGTGGTGTTTGTTGTTATTCAACACTGGTCAATGCAAGTCTACCTCGTTCTCAAGCTTACATTTATCTACATACTTATAATATTTAATTTAGTCTTGGTACGCTATTTCTATATGAATAATCTCTATGTATTCTTATTTCATTACAGACCTTGGGCCGCATCGGCCGGTAAGTAAAAACTTTTTTTATAACTTTTAATGCATTTTCTATATTCTTTGGTAAAGCAGATTGAATCAGGTTTTTCTTTGATTTTTTTATAGTGTGCAGCAAATTTACCATGATAATGATCTAAAAGTTGAAGTATGTGGAACTTGTTGGACATATAATCCTGCAGGTTTGTGCATAAAAGCTTTTGTAGTTTCATGTTCATTAACAATTTGTTACAAATTCATTATGTTTTTTTCTGCAGCTGTCACCAAAGTTGCGTCATCTGATGGATCCTTACCAGGATCATCCAGTGGAGGTCTGCATAATAAATTAAATTTTGTAGCTATTGATGGATGTCTTGACCATAATATCAATGGGTTTGCTGTTGGATTTTGTAAGACAAATATTCCCGATAAAAACTAAAATTTTAAAAACGCTATCCATTTTATAAACTTACAAATTTCAGTTTATATATCATATACATCGTAAGGTATCCCAATGTAATCCTATGGTCAAGACGTGTTATCCACTAGCACCCTAATTTGAATAGAGTTAAATAATGATAGGGGCAAGATAATGGGGTAACAAAATCGGGTCCTCTTAAAGAAACTTAAAATATCACGATTTTTACCCCAGTTCGATTAAGAAGTTACAATTCCACCAAAAGTAATTAATTCTTTAAAATAATCAATTATTTTTTAGAACGGCTGAGTGCCCTACTCAAAAAACTTTTCGAGAATCATGTTACTGGAGATGTAACAGAAGAATTTGTCAAGGCTTCGGCTAACGGGGATTTCCAAAAGTGTGAAGAGGTACAGTCTAACATTATCTACTCTATACGTATATATTTATGTAGTCTACTCTCTACAATTTGTAACCCATGTTGCTATCATGTAGTTGCTTAAACGTGGAGACTGTGAAGTAAATTGCACTTTCTCTGGACACACGGCAATGCAAGCAGCCAGTCAAAATGGTCATCTGGATGTGATTAGAATCCTTCTAAATCGTAATTTTAAAATACTAAAGTTGTTATTGCTATATAATTTGATCATTTGATAAATTATTAATAACGTTTTTATGTAATCAGATGGAGCTGATCCTGAAGTTGAGGACAAGGATGGAGATCGCGCAGGTAATTTGCTTGACTTACTGTGATTTGTTGTGTGTATTAATAAGTAGATCGTACATACATACATGTTTCTAATATATGTATCAGTTCATCACGCTGCTTTTGGTGACGAGCCTCTTGTAATTGAAATGATGGCTCAATCTGGGGCAGACCTAAATGCGCGTAATAAACGTCGACAAACAGCGCTGCATATTGGTGTCAACAAAGGCCATTTAGGCGTGGTTAGGACACTCCTTCGACTTGGCTGTCACCCTTCTCTACAGGTAAATTTAAAAAGATTTTAATATGTACACAAGATGGGGGGTTTCGGGCGTAAAACAATTCTCCAACACCAAAACATTTCCCCATTCAAATTGACAAGTTACCTAAATATATTTGGATCAGATGGAAGGGTTGGGCAGTGTGCATATTAATTTTTGTCGATGAAATTATGCAGAAATTATGCATGCAAAAACTTTGTCTTGATATGAATGCCGGGTGCCCCGTTTTTTTGTAAAGTATAAATCATTTATTTCTTGAATAATTTTTGTCGCGTCAATCAGGATCTCGAAGGAGACAGTCCAATCCACGACAGTGTATCCAAAAAGAGAGATGATATGCTGAGTCTCCTCTTGGACCACAATGCAGATGTTACCCTAACCAACAATAACGGATTTAACGGGCTCCATCATGCAGCACTACGTGGAAACCCAAGGTAATTTAAATTGTCTTACTTTCTTATGTGTATTAATAAGTTCATACTGATCATTATTTCATGACGAATATTCCAACTCTTTCTCTCAACATGAATGAATGTATGGGCGCAAGTATTTTTCTGATCGAGATAAAAGAATCCGTACTGCTGTCGCATAATGCATTATAAAGTTGCATTGCTCAAATGCTCACTATGTGCATATAGTTGGTTTAAATGTTACATTTTTATAACTGAAAGTGGGTTGGGCGTTTCCTTGGTCTGGAGTGGTTGAAGAAACGAGAGGAAATGGAAGCACGAGATGGTTGAACAAAAGTTTAGCCCAAAAATATATATGAATTAGGAAGGCCAGAGATTTCATTTTCATTAGAGATGAGTTTTCTCCTTGCTACTCTTTTTTCATATCATGGATGGGAGTGTAAGAGAGCGGCATGGTTTTCATCACATAGTGGGAGCCGAATAATACGGTCATGGATACGTTCCCCACACGTATTGTATAGTTTCCACACGACTGCTGTTACCCAACGATAAAATATCTGTGTAACAATGGGAAAGAATTGTCTGCTGCTCCTCCCGTACTTCACCAAAGTAATAATGGTAGAAGCTACGTAGAGATAGGATGGAGAACGCGAGAAAGAGGAAAAAATTCCCGTTAGCGCCTGTAAAGGAGAAGCCATACCATCCCATTTTATTTGCTGCTTGCTTCCACAATTATCGTTAACATTCTGCGAAGAAGTGAAGAACAAAGGCTAATCTTTCAGGTTTATCTTCATTAACTTTACTATTATAGGCCAATTCACCATCACATCGAGATTGTTATCTGCGTTTCTTTCAAAATTTCATTTCAGATTCAGTGTCGCTCTTCATGTCCTCGACTCCATGCACTTGATCCATATTTTTAAACAGTCGCATTATCTGAATGACGGTACTTTTTTGTAATGAATCCCTCCTGAGGGTGATCAAGTAAATGCTTATACGAACGTATATACATATCTACCAACTTTATACTTACATGCATACTTTGTTCCTATACTTTGGTCTGCTAACAAACAACTGAGCAAATTTCTAACCAAATTACGAAATGTTCCAGTGTGCCTGGAAGGTAGACATGAAAGTTAGCGAGCTAGTAGCTAGCTAGAAAGACAACGATGTCGGAATGAGTTGACCAGTAGTAGCAGCAGTCACTTTCTCCTTCTCTGAACGCATAGTCTGCTCCGATTAGTTTTGCACGGAAGTACACTATAAATTTACATCAGGGCAGAGCAGAACTTCAATATGCATGCTAATCAGTCTTCCGTGATTGTTTTGATTTAGCGATGAAAGTCAAGCTCTGAAGCGACTCGGGTAATATTCAACTGGGATTATTATAGAAATGAGAGAGAGAGAGAGAGTTGTGTGCAATGCGCTCAGTTTGAGAGAGTGAGTGACTTGTACCATTTCCGCTAAAGAGTAACAGAGGATTCATTCCTGCCTGCTTTCACTCCTTTTGTACACGTGCCTGGTCTCTCTATTTCTCCAGCTTATTATTATATGGATGGATGGTTGAGGACCAGGTTTGAGTGGTGGCAAGCCAAGCCCTCATTCCAATAAGTGTACAACGGACCTTTTTGACAGCAAGAGAAAGAGAGAGAAACAATTCATCTTTTCCTCGCACGCTTTGTTAGAGATAATAATAATGGTAGTAATAGTAGTAATGTAATTAACCTTTCACTTTCCCTCAGTTATAGTGTGGTAGGTGACTGGAATGGGAATGGGAAATGTTCCCTACCAAACCACGACCGAAATACAAAATGCCTTTGTGTGCTAGTCCGCCTCCGCCTTAGTAGAGGTCTTGTCTACACTGGTTTGTTATGGCGAATAGCCTCAGGAACAACTCGTCAATTTATTTATCCATCCAGCCTTTCCACGTACTTTCCCGTCCAAGTTTTTTTTTTAGAAATCTACTCTACATTTTTACAAGCAGTGCACCAGAGCAGAAATCTGCGTGGCTTGTCAATGATGTGATGTACCAATTTTTTGATCCACCAGTTTGGGCTGGCTTGATCTATCTAGTTTCACGGATTTTTAGAAATGTATGTATGCATGCAGTTATGTCAGCACAAATAATTTATTCTGTTATGGATCTCTTTAGCTCTATTTCGCTTTGGGAAATGTACGAATACGACAAATGTGCAATGGAACACAAACTTTCACTTGCTAGTCGTTGGACGGAGATTGTAATCAGATTGCAATCAAAATATGAGATGAGAGAAGCGTTCAACAGTGAAACGGATGACATATGGACAGCTAATTTTGGTGATTGATATGCAGGAAATGAATAATGGAACGGTCGTTGTATGACACACTGAAGATCAATTACATCACAATGAAAGGATGAATAAGACTCGATCTGAACACGTTTTTAGCTGTGGTAAATGTAATTTTACTGCCTAACTTATCGGATACACGCACATATGTACATACATACATTACATTCATCACTACTACTATCAGCATATTTCATTGCTAAACTTACAGTGTGAGGGACGGGTATCGTGGTAATATGATTATAATGGGCGATAGCGTTGTTGCGAAGCCTTTTTGGTTTTGCATGGGTTCGGCATCATCGTGTGGTTGGCTGGTCGATGTTTATTGGTGAAAGTCGATTTAAATGCCAACTAAGTAAATCAGGATGGGTCACAATATATATGCCTACATATAATCTACATATTATACATGTGTACTTACTGACAACGTCCCGGGGGTTGATGGCAGCATTACAGTTTTCCAACGTTGGTTGTCCGCACATTTTTGAAGCATTCAAACATTCAAGCTCGCGCTGGTTGAATTGGGACCAAATAAGTAAAAACTTGAAATTTAGCCCTAAATCAGCCAGCTAGAGCTGAATGCATTTGTTACGGATGGATTTATATATTGGTTGGTCCGGAGAATTAAGTAGTTTCCTTCGTCTTGTGGTTAAAAGCTGGCTTCTCGAGCTGACTACCCAGATCAAAAGTGAGGGTTGTGCAGGGTCCCAGATGTACCATAAAATACTTGATTGTTGGACTACATATTGAGCTAAAAGTTACTTTAATATGTGGTGGTAGGACTGGTAGGAGTAGGCGAAATGTGTGGTACTCTGAGAATTATACGTTTTTTACTGTTATAAGCAAGTTGGCATGATACACACTTACTCGGAATATCTGAATCTACATCAGGAAAGCCCGGATATTTTGGGTGGTGGGACATTATTGGAGACCCAAAACTTGGAAAGACTCGCGCTTTAATTTGCTTTTCTTGCCAATGTTCGAACTTGTCTCTGCTTCCCTATGATCTCTCCTCTGGGTCCTTCCAGACAAGTTTTCTTGATTAGGTCTGCCTCTGAAATTGATAAAAATAAATCAATGATTCTATCTTTACTTGTAAACGAAGAAATCATAGATCTACAGATTTTTTTAACGTACTTAAATTAGCGACAGGTTTAGCTAAAGTACTTATTTTCGTCAAGCTATATGTGTATATATACCTGATTACATTTTTTTGTCGTATCCTACAAATGCAGGAATTGCAAAATATGTAAAATGGATCAATGATTTATATCTCATTTCATCAGAGCAATGTACACTTTGCAACATGTTGGCCATCTCTTTTACAAGATATTTTGGTCATGTATATCAATAGTATTAGTGAAAGTGAATATCAAGTATGAAGAAAGGGCATTAAGTATCAGAGGCAGGAAACTGATAAAAGTTGATACTTTCCGTTTCAACTCTCACGACTTTCATAACTACATGCTGAGTTTGAATTTACTTCTTTCCCGACTTTGCTTCCTCTTCTCCTTCTTCTTCATGTATCTTACATATCTTTCTTTCCTACAGAACCTCGATTTTCTGGGTCTGAGCTAAAACTCTTCGTATTGATTTTCAGTTGAAATGCCACCCACAAAGTAAAACTACTGCATCCTAAATTCCGTATTAGTTGGTTCTGAATTCTCCTCCAAAAGATCGTCGTCTTCGCCTCCCTTTCTCTCGTTTGGTCGGTATACACACTACGGATGATCAGTGACCGTTTTTACTATTGTCTCAACAAGCCAAACTATCTTTGTACAACTGATAGCAGACAATTTTCGTGTTTTCTTTTGTCTGATATACTTGCAAAGAGAGAGACAGCGGTAGTTTGACTTTAGAGGAAATAAATAAGTCGTTGTTCATTGTCTCCGCTGCGAATTATAACGACATCTACTATCTTAGTAGATTAGCTTAATAATGCTTTAAGCCGCTGCTTTCCTTTTGGAAAATCCTGGTGGATAAAATTCTTTAACTTCAGGTTTAACCTAACTTACGAAGGCTTTCTCTTTCTCCCAACTCTCGCTCGTGTATTTCTTTCCATGGGTTTGCCAGCCGAGCGAGATAAAGCTAATTTTCTATTCGAGTCGTGCTTCTAGCTGCAGTATCTCTTTTTTGAAATTTAGGGTTGGTGTTTAACCAAAACTTTTTCGTGTTGTTGTTGCCCGAACAAAGTTGCCCAAAAGAAGTTCAGAAACAAGAAAAGTCAATGTTGTACAATTCACCTGTTCGAAGGAAGATGCGTGTTTTGCGACGACGGGGTTGGGACGAACTCCATACGTTATGTATTTCTCGCTTGGCACTTTGGTACCTATTCACTTCAAATCTTATTTCTTCAGAATAAATTGGTTGCAAAGTATGAATGTTTGAAAAGAAATGATGTGAATCGGTGGCACTGTCGGTCGTACTTGGAAGATGCTACATAGACACATAATGCTGTTTAAGTAAGTATATCTGGTATTTAAGTACAAAATCGCTACGCTTTCCAAGTACGAGATGGAGGAAGGAAAAGCAGGCTTTGGGTTGTAATGTAGAGAAAGAGAGAGAGAGAGGGAAGTTGACAAAAGCATTGCCGACGGACGGACCGACCAATCGAAAATTCAACAGAAGAAGGGACGAAAGGCAAAAGAAACCCGAGAGATAAAGTCGTGAGGAAGGAAGAACTTTCACTGAGTGCCTCTATTTCCATTCACTGCTTCAGTTCTGCAAGTTTCGTGTGGTAAATTATCCTGAATCATTGCCATGTCTAAGGCCTAAACTTTGAGCGAGTTTCTTCTCCTTGAGTCGTCGTCGCTTTCACTCCAATGTGAAAAAGCACGATTTTCTTCTTCTGCTCACTTACATATACCTTGGTTGCATTATATAAGTGTATCTCAATGAATTGGTGACACTAAGTGTCCTGGTACGTACGTACATACTGCTATGCATCCAGACATATAGATTACGCTCAGTAATTTACCTCTCATGTGTTCTCTGCAAAACTTTAGTTTCTAATTAAGAGAAGCCTTCTTGTCCCCCATTTAACGCAACATGAATGAGCCCGGTGTTGTTTCAATGATGTATGTGCACTATCCAGTTTCGCTATTACGTATATACCTAACGAATGTATATCCAAGACACGAGTTGTTCAAGTAATGAAATTAAGTGTCTTTTTAATTCAATTAATCTTTCTGCCTACAAATGGATGCAGACTTGCACAAAGTATTCCTTGAAATTAGTTGGCTTGTTGTTTTATGCCGATGTTAACAATGGGATAAGAGAGATCTTAATAATAATATAATATAATGCAGGACTGGCTGTAATTGACTGTCATGAAAATTATGCCACGACTGTACAATAACTTCCTGGAGAGAGGTTGGTTGGAAACTTTTTGTGGCTCGGCTACTAAATACAGTGTAATGTAAAGTAATGTTATCTTATGCGCTGTGTGGTTGATTTTTATGAGTGAAAATATCACGAACATACATATATTGCCATTTCGCAATGCTGGTTGACATGAATGGATGGTAATCGAGTTGATATACTGGCAATCGTTTCTTTGGTGGGGTTGTGCTTAGGGTTTGTATGATGAAATAATGAGGGGAGAAAATGGATGAAAATATATGCTTGCTAGGCAGACCATGACATTTATTAAAGATTTCTAGAGCATAAAAACGACTTGGTTTTGATAGGAAAGTTCTGAGTATTTCGTGTGTTCGTCAAATTAGATTCGGGCGTACATTCTACTACTAGTACGGCATTTAACCCAGAATGACAATGTAGAATTAACGAGTTGTTTTGTTAATGGTATGTACCTTGTTATATTATAAGATGACTTTTGTGCAAGTCGTGGGGCTGAGTTGTTGAATGATTTCATGATGAATCAACCCTGATTTTTATATTTGTATGTGAAAAGAAATGTTTTTCTATGATTGTAAGAATTGTGGTGGACAAAATGAACTTTACTGAAGTGACAGGAGAGGAGTAAGAAGGCACGTTGAAAAGAAAGTGAATTGGGCCGAGATGACTCTTCCACACAACAATCACTTTCTGCAAACTCTCATCTTGCGGAAAGTTGTACGTGGTTGTCAAAACCACATCGAGAGAGAAGACGAGTAAGCTTTCGGGCTTTTTCTTGAAAATATGATATCCCAAGGTATTTCTGGAGAGAAAGTTAACGAAGCTTTCCTTCCCCTTCTATCACTCACAGTGTTGATATGTCCAAATTATAAAGGACGTGATCAGACAGTGTACTCAACGTGTCAGTTCGGTTTATCCCATCCTCCTTTTTCTTGGTCTTCTTGTATCGACTTATTGTACATTCTCAACTAACCAAGATCATTCCATTTGATATTGAAACTTGCCTTTCGAATCTAGCCTTTCATTGATGTTGGAGACTATAGCATCAAATTTTGTATGATTGCTCTCCTTAGTAGATCAAAGCTAATGAGTTAAAGTTTATTCCCTACTTTTCTTGAAGATCAATTAAAGGGAGTTCTTACTACCTATGCATGTATGTAGATTCTCTCTAATTTATGTGGAAGAAGTTTTTCATACAGTTCTCCAAATTAGGAGAAAATATAAATACTTTCTCCTAGTTTGGTGAATAATAATATTATTCATTGCATTCTTATTACCGTGCGCTAACGGTACACCATTGTGAGACACATTAAACTTTGAAATGAACGGTGTAGCCATAAATTAGTACATTAACTTTGTGCATGAAAACCCGAACCAAAATGCGTTCCCTTTCGTATGTGCAGACATACATGCATACATGTATGTACATGTGTATGTATGGGCAGAAAAGTACATATGCATGTGAGTGACTGCCATATAGGAAATTCACGTTGTTAAGCCAATGGTTGGCACATTTTCTCGCTTCACAAGGTGCTTTATGGGAAGATGTAGTTTGTGATACGAAACGGACGGTTGACATGAGGGGCAAGTGTTGTATAGCTACTCGGCAAACTAACTTTACATGCATTCTTGGGTTTTACTCGACGAATATATATTAATTTACTGCCTGTGCTAAAGAAAAAGGGTTGCTGCTAGTGTGTTGGGGTGATCGGTCGGTACTAAACAGAAAAGAACAGGAAGGAAAACTAGTTTGATCGAACTTTGCAAGTGAAAGTCGCTTGGAAGTGAACATTTCTGTAAATCTACATGCAAAAGTATTTCTTCAGTAAGTCTGACCGCACGTAAAATATTGGCCACAAATATGCCCACTTAGCTTACAACAATATTGGTATTGACACCAATGCATACGCTTACTGTTTTACTTGGTGGATAAGTTTGGTGATGATGGAGGAAATGAATATGCAGCAGACGTCTCAGCACTTTCTCCAGGATTTTGTCCGACAGTTACCTTCTGCTGCATAGATTCTTGTTCTGACGATTTAATAACTTATCAAGCTGACAAACTCCGAAATGGTTGATGAGTTAAGATGAAAGCTTTATGCAATGTTCACTCCTCACTGGACACAATTTATACAGATTATCTACTGCAATTACAGTTTAGATACGTACAGAGACAAACAGACAGAGTGAGAGGGAGAGCGAGAGAGAGAATATTGAGAAGAAATTGGACAATATATTAATGTTTAAAAGTTGGTACTGGGATGGAGATGAAAATCA